AAGGGGGAGTGGCTGGCCTGCACTGCAGACAGACAGCCATTCTGCAGGAGCCCGCGATCGGCCGTGGAAGGGAAGACAAGAATCAGACAGGAAATATCTTTCCTGTCTTGCGGTTGCTTGCAGCCACAGCAAAAAGCAGCCCCAGGGCAGGCGGGTCGTAAATATATTCATTGTGGGCCACATACAGCTCGTGGGCCGCAAAAAGTCACAAAAGTCCAGTAATGAAAAATAATCTACATTGTTCACAAGAACCATCAAAGTCTAAAGTTTACTTTACCGTTTCTGAATACATTTGAATGGAGTCTGGATTTCCGCCTTTCTCTGTGCAAACATCTAAAATCATGAATCAAACGATTGAAATACGTAACTGAATGTTCATTTTATGTAACAGGCCTAGACTGGCCATCATGCAAGCCGGGCAAAGGCCTGGTGGGTCGCGATGCCATGGGCAAAGACTGACAGGTAAGATCAAAGGATCTCCCCAGCCGGCCTCTGCAGAGCAACATTAACCCAGATAGGGCTCTCTGTCCCTTAATGAGCTGATGGGCCGCCAGAAAACTAATTGGGGCGCCAAGAAGCTCCTGCCAGAACCTATATGTGTCATGAACTCCAGCACTTAGTGTCAGAGTGAAGCCGTGGTAAATATACAAATTCTATATTTTCTATAGGACCTTTCCCCAACCCCTCTGTGGCTCTTTGCCCCCGCCTCCTCACTCTCAGCCCCTCTGTGTGTCTCTTTCTCTCCACAGCCCCATTTGTGTGGCTCTTCCAGCTGGCACTCTTTCTGCCTAATCCTGCTGTGTTGCTTCTGGGCCACACTTCAGTTCTTGTTTCTGCTTAATGTTTATCTCCAGCACTTGGGGCTGGACTTTACCAGTAGCTGCTCCTGTCTATTTAGCCCACCTGAAGCAGATCATTAATAAGCCTCTGCCTCGCTCTGGGAACTTTGTCAGTTCTTGATCCAGTGTTCCTGTGCAATAATCATGCTTTCTAATCAGCATCTTGATATGCCACACCTGTGAGGTGGATGGATTATCTCGGCAAAGGAGAAGTGCTCACTAACACAGATTTAGACAGATTTGTGAACAATATTTGAGAGAAACAGGTATTTTGTGTACATAGAAAAAGTCTTAGATCTTTGAGTTCAGCTCATGAAAAATGGGGGCAAAAACAAGTGTTGCATTTATAATTTTGTTCAGTGTAATTTGACCAACATTCTAATCCTTCCTTACGATTGTCAGTGGCATGGTTCTGTACTCAGTGTGAACCTGCAGTGGGTTTAATGCTGCCCCCTTTAAAGAGATTTTAATTGGAGGACATCAGGCTGTTTATAATACAATGTTATCTGTAAGCTGTGCTCTGGATAACTTGTGGTGATCCCAGCAGATGCATTTGGTTATGCATTCAGTGCCTGGGGAAGTTGGTCATCATTCAGAATAAATTAAGTCTAGAGTACATAATTTTCAATTGGGTACCAGGCCAGTGATTAATGAGTACAAGTATCCTTTAATGTCTGTGATGACACAGCATTGGTCTGTGTATGTGTGTGTGCATATGTCAGTGTGTATGTGTGTGTATATTCTTTGTGTTTGTATGTGTGTGTCAGTGTGTGGCAATGCATGTGTATATTTGCATACATCCTTGCACTCAAACACCAACACTACATGCAAATACAAACATTTCTTGCGATGTTGCGTCTGGTGACATCACGCCCAGTGACGTCACATATATATATATATAATTATACAAATTAGCACGGTGTATTTTTACAAGAAAAGTGGCAACGCTAGAACCACATGAGATGTGCTCATATGTGTTTGTGAACATTTATTTCATTATCTTATATGATTCATACTCAGCTTCTGGGACTGAGGCTAAATGAAAACCACAAAACATTTAATTTTCATAAAACTTTATTCTGTTCACATGGACCTTACCTAAACCATAAGAGAGATAGATAGAAAGAAAGAAAGTAGATTCAAACACACTGTAATGAAATTAAACTGAAACTTCCACAAGTTGCAAACTATAGAAACAAAAATTCAGGTCCAAGTTCAATGTGTTTAAACCACACTCTGACATTGGTACAGTACAAAGTACTATTAGCACAAAGACACACCATTGAGTTTATAAAGGTACTTAATCCCAGATGGTTAGGGTTTGCTGAACACGATGTTTGCTCAGTACACTCTCTATTCATACCTACCCCCAACTTATGTATCTTTTTTGATGGGAATTTCCTTACTGCCCACTGGTGCCGCATTAACTCAATTAACAACAATGCTGTGTTAGGCGCCCACTTTTATTATGTGCCACCATAAAAAGAAGTTCCCCTTTTCTATTTTTTTCTCTCTCTCTTTTTTCTTTTCTTTTTCCTTTTTTCTTCTTTTTTCTTTCTTCTTCTCCTTTCTTATTGCAATCACCAGCAGGAAGGCTGAACTAGGTAGCCTACTTTATTATTAGCTAATAAGAAGAAATAAAACATAAAAAAGGAATATCTATATATCAGGTTTCTCTTTTTCCTTTCTCTTTATTCTCTCCTTCTCCTTCATTCTTTTTCTTTTCCTTCTTTCTTTTATTTTATGTTAAGTAAACAGAAAATAACAGAACTTAGCTTGCCAAAGGAAAATAACAGAATTTAGCTTGCCAAATTCAATATCAGCCACTCTAAACACCACACTGTCCCAGCTTTCTCATTGAGTGCATCAGCTCCTCTTCCAGCATGTTACATCATCACGCCCGTCCATCCCAATCAGGAGTGCAGCCGCACGTATGCTTCCTTTTAGCCATCGAGAGAGATTTAGCAAACAGAGGCATTCACGCTATGCATGTTGGGTCTCTCTCGATGGCTGGAGAGAGGCGCACGTCTGCGTGGAGCATGTGGTTGTGCTGGAGACCCGAGGGAAGCAGGTAAAACCCACCACCACCCACCATGAAAAATTATATAGAATGCATCACAAAAGTTCACGTTTCGTATACATATATATCACAAAGTATGACGTATTAATTACATGTAATGAAACATATTTTCTGTTATAAGCCTATGGTTGGTACAGCATCTTCTTTTTCAGTTACCAAGTATACCTTGAATGCTTCAGATTGAAAATACTATTGTGCGTATTTTAATGAATGACACCTTTGTAAAAGTAGCTTCAGAAGCAGAGCAGGCGACCATAGGCTACTGGCTTGAGTTCAGGGTTCAGACAGGGGCCCCATTACTATCACTTTCCTTGACCTCATTCACCATCCTTATAGGACAAACTAATCTTTTTCTGTTTAGAAGCCAGCAAATATACCACACCTGCCAACATTGGAAGGTATGGGATCTGGACGTTGGCGTGCTTACAAGGAACATTTAAAGATCAAATGCTGAAGCCCTCTCTGCTTAGTCCTTGTGGCCGCTGCACAGAGCTGTCTCGTCTTACAATGTGCTCGCACTGTGCTGCCCAAGAACAGTACCCTGGTGCCCTTGGAACTATTTCTGGATGCTGGGACTGGATCACAAAATCAATTTAGGAACCCCGGGATTCTATGGTGAAGGAATGAGCAAAAATTGCTCATGTCCTTGGAAAAATTACTGACCCCACATCTGGTTCATCTGGGTGAGAGGATTTAAATGTAGCTTTAACGCTCTGATCCCCACATTTATGGCTTAACATCCTGCAAATCGCAGCAAATGAGTTAACCATATCAGTGTTCTCTCTTTCTTTGTCAGCATTATTCCATACAGCTTGCGGACTTTACCCAGGATCAACCTTGAGTGTACTGTTGGAGCTCAAATACTGCCCATTGGACTTTGTTATTGATCTAGCAGGCTACCTTACAGACAGGATGAAAACAGGCTGATAACAAAGAGCGCGGACCAATAGTCCTTCAACTTTACCCTACATACATTTGTTTGTACACATGTGAACGTGTCAATAAATCCCCGTATTCACAACGCACTTTTTAATTCACCACAATTCTCTAATTAAAGCAGAAAACTCAATTTTGTGTGGGTTCATATAAAACTGATGCCCACTTTTTCAAACATTAACGTGGAAAAAAAATCTCACACAAAACTAACCTCTAGCTGCAGTGGCACCTAACTATAAGTTACATAGCTCAACACTTAGGAGCAGTTTGACATAGATTGTGGCTCTTCCCGAAGATCAGATCTTCCTCAGCGACACACTCTGTTAGAAAAATGGAAAAAAATCAGTTCCATAAATGTGTATTTAGCTGAATCCTCCTGAATCTTTCCTACAAGTCTCTATCATTACCAAGGTCTTCTTCCAGGTCTCCTTCAGTATTCCTACTACACCCTACAGGGTTGCCATCAGAAATTTTGGGCCCCTGGGACCCACCCCTGAGATTGACCACTTGGCGGCCCCCGAGTACACCCACAGGGCCCATACTGAGTCCACCGATAAGGATGAAGTGTGTGTGTACTAAATGTGGTCCCGGGCCACACATTCCCTAATTGCACATATTTATAGCAACTATCGCAATATATGTGCATTGCGGGCTCCTGGCTACCTGTTACTGCATTTTGATACAACTGAGCATTCCAGAGCACTTGGCTCTTGTTCTGGTTTTCCAGTACTGTTCTGTAACCAAATTGCCAGCTCTGTCTATAAACCAACACGTTGAACTGGCCAATCATATTGGTTTGGCAAATATCCACTGCCCCCCCCCCCCCTACAAGGTGGGTATGCTGGTCATCAGCCAAGTTTAGGTAGCAACTGTTAATCTAGGATTTCAGCCTGTGAAGAAGATGGCCGCATGTTGCATGGAACAAGGTTTGGCCAAGTATGTTCATGTGTCGAGGCTTCTGTCTAACCCCTCAGTCAAAGGTGGCCACCTTGGATCATCTAATGGTTAATTTGGCTATGTATGTACAATGCGTGTAAAGCCACGATTACTTAAATCATTGTAAATATTACATGTAAACATAACACCTACAAAATGCGTAACAGATGTTTTAAAACTGTTTGCTTGTGCTTAATGTCCCAGGATAATGTGTACACAGTGTCACTCAGCTCCCATGCCCTCTGACCGGCATCATGCACATTTTGTCATCCTGCTCTATGTGTATATGAGAGATGCAGAACAAGCAGATATCACATCACCTTGCTCATCGCATGCACACCTGTACAGAACAGGTGTATTGGGATTCTCACCTGCTTCTGCATGAGTATGATTAATCTACTGTGCTTCCTAATGGCCAAATTGCAACATTTCCCAAAATAGATCTAGCCCCTGACATGTTATGTGTTTCTCTTCCAAGGTCAGGTGAGCCAACATTTCTATGAGGGACGTCCTCATTTCTATGAGGGACGTCACAGGCTGAATACTTTGTGTCGCTTCCCTTCCTTTAAAAAGTGAACAGAGCTTCCACATTGAATGACTCTAAGGGAGTGTGACCAGAGAACATCAGAGGGCAGTGTGTACTTAGAGTGCAGTGTATCTCTCTCTGCCTCTCCTAACGGCTCAGAATTCCATCACATCACATCTCAGCAGGTATTGTGTAACTGGAAGCAATAAGAGAATCATTTCTTAACTACTCACAGGTAAGCATTTATTTAATATGTCTATGCAATCACATATGGAAAGAAAGCTTTGCTCTAAAAGAAAGGTATACGTAGTCATTGTTAATAGCTGCATGGTTTTACGCTCCTGTGTGTTCTGAAGAGCTATCTTTCCAGTTTTATTTACTAAAACACCTGTTGCTGAAGAGTTTAACTTGAGTGGGGAAAGCTGAACTTGAACGTGTTCTCAGCAGGCTATAAGCCCCTCCTCTGAGGATTTCCTAGTTCCAAGGGGATGTACGTTTAATGCTAGATTGGTTAATTAGAAGCTGCCATGTATTATAATTGCAATGAAAAGTTTCTAAATCTGTTTATGATCTGTGAGGATCAGGACCTGTTAAGTAGGAATGGAAAATTTAGGCCGAGATTAAGACTCCATGCTTGGAGAGGAGTGAAGGTTTTATTAAAACTTAAAGGAAGATTGCAAGACATTGCTCATTTAATAGGCTATTATCCAAAGTTATGCCAAATATTAGTTAATATGCTATGGTTGGGGAAAAGTAAAGTTGTTAATAACATGGAGGGGAAGCTAAGTGGTATTTGAAGTATGATATTATGCTAAATGACGGCATGTGACACCAGAATATGGACCAACACATCTGATCACCCAAGTTTTATTTGCATGATACAGGGTGCATGGTTGTTGCAAGACAAATCTGGCTTAACAACTCAAAGATAGTCTTTTATTTCCAAGATGAAGTACGGTAATAAAAAAATTAATGGACTTTTAAGCTTTCTAATCTATGAAGTCCTGCTCAGTTTGGAACAATTTAATATTCGATATTGACCAGCATAAAGAATAAAAACACTTCCTCGAGTGAATGAAAATCACTGCTAACTAATTAACTCAAGTATCTGTTGACAATTTTTTAACCAGTTTCAAGTTTCTTGGAGAAAGAGGAACGGGATCAGGTCCCTGGTAAAACCTCAAAAAATGCAAAGTTCAGAGGAAGATTTTATTTTTTTGTAGCATGGATGTTTGAGGATAGTGGAACATGTTTGGGTGGGATACTGGCTGGTGGGTTCAAGGTTCTATCTGGAGGGTTCTAAGCTCCTTTTGTATTTGTTAGTCAAATTTCGTATTATCTCTCAGGTATATTGTAACCTTGTCTTTTTAATTGTCTCATTTTGCACTCATGGATAGCACTGTGGAATGTGTTTGCACTTTATAAACAAAGTGTAATGATAATAAAGTAGATAATGTAGGAAAACCAAGGGAAAGGCGACAATTATATTTTACCAGGATGTAGCTTCCTATGAATTAGTTAGAAAGAGTTAAAAAAATATATGTAAGAACTGCTGTTGACTTATCCATCCACAACCACGTGATTATGAAGATAAAATCACCTGTAAATAATTAAATTGTAATACAATATATTGTTTTATGGCAACAGGTTCAACCCATACATAAGATATTGTTGCCATTAGCATCTAGTATAGAGTTGTTTTGTAAACCTTTTTAGTATGTTATCAAACTAATGAAAGAAATACAGATATACACTAAAATATATAGAAATATATGTAAAAAATGGACATCTCCATAAAGGTCAGGCTAGGCATAGAAAGATGATGGATGACTAGAAGATTTATAAACTTGATTCAGCACATCAATATGACCAAAACGCCTTCTTTGCTTCTATCTCTAGACGCAGAAAAAGCGTTTGACAGGATACATTGGGGATATTTATGGAGAACATTAGATAGGTTCAACATACCATCATCATTTATCACAGCAATTAAGGCGTTATATTGCGCACCCTCCGCCCATGTCTCAGCTTCTGGCTTCACATCCAAAACTTTTCCCCTAACCAACGGGACGAGACAGGGGTGCCCTTTATCTCCAATTTTGTTTGTTTTAGCGATAGAACCCCTGGCAGAACTGATTAGGACAACCCCACAAATTGTAGGAATTGCGGTTAAAGAATCCGTTCACAAAATTGGTTTGTTTGCAGATGATATAATCCTAGCTATTAAAAACCCAAAAGAATCTTTGAGACACCTCAAGGATATTTTAACTCAATTCGGTGAGATATCGTATTACAAATTAAATGAGTCCAAAACTCAAGCCCTTCCGTTTCATTTAAACAATTTGGAAACCATTGCCCTTAAGAAATCATATTTATTTGATTGGAGAACTGATTATATGGAATATCTTGGCATTAATTTATGCAAAAATTTGGTTAATATGCACAATCACAACCTGAGGAAAGCATGGTCAGACCTACAAAAAGAGATGGAGAGATGGGGTGGGATGGAGCTTTCATGGCTGGGGAGGGTCGCATCTATTAAAATGACGATACTCCCAAAAATTTTATATTTTTTTAGGACCATTCCTCTGTCCATTCCATTATCATTTTTTAATAAAGTTCATTCGACGATGTTGAAATTTATATGGGGGAACAAGCCTGCCCGAGTGAGGCTCACTTCCCTGCAGCACCATAAATCGAACGGCGGTATCGGTGTCCCCGATATCCGCAAATATTATTTCGCCACTAACGCTGCAGTGGTAGTGAGCTTTAACAACCAGGATGATAAACCCAGATGGATGGAGATAGAGGAATCAAAAATTTCACCGGTTAGGCTATTAGAATTACCTTGGTTAAATCCCAAGAAAAGACCTGGAATTACAAAATTATTTTTATCCACCAGGACTACGCTTAAGGCCTGGGACATTGTTTTTAAAAACGACCAGTCTCCCAGATTATATAGAGCAATGCCTATTGAATTATTGAAAGATCATATACCATCCTTAAAAATAGAATTATTAAAGGATTGCTCTATAACTAGTCTGGACAATTTTTTCTATGGCAATGCTATTCTTTCTTTGGAAAAATTGAAGCTTAAGTATGGATTGTCGAATGCATGTGAACTGGAATGTATGATAATCATTGATAAATTGAAAGAACTATACCAGGTACCTGAAACAGATAAAAACTATAAATCACTTGAGATATCTCCTTTAGAGAAAGTTATTTTATACAGCCCCGCTAGTAAAGGTATTATATCCTTATGTTACTTATCTCATAATGCCAAGCCCTTAGTTAAATTAAAACATATGCTGTCATGGGAGACGGAGTTGGGTGCCCAGTACGATTTAGTAGAATGGTTCGGTTTCTTTACAGGTTTGAAAGGCATTTCGTATTGCACCGACCATTTTGAAAATCATTATAAAATCTTATATCGCTGGTACCTGGCTCCGTCTAGATTACATAACATGAACAATATGTATTCTGACCGGTGTTGGAGAGACTGTGGGGGAGTGGGCAATATGGCTCATATCTGGTGGTTTTGCCCCAAGTTAATTAATTATTGGAAAATGATCCACGATCTGATTATTAAAGTGAACGGAACCATTAGTATCTTAACCTCGGAACTAGCCTTATTTAAAAAACTCCCGGAGTCTGTTAATAGATCAGATAAAATAATCATAGGCCACATTCTGATCGCTGCTACATCCTGTTTACCTAGACATTGGAAGTCTCAAAATGTGCCATCTCTCAGAGAAGTTTTTAATTTGATTTTAGAAAATAAGGCACATGAACTATCACACAGAGCCAATATGCATGGTTTCCCAATACTAAAATACAACTGGGATAAATGGGAAGAAAAAATCAAAACAGTTTATGGTCTTTGATATATTTATTGTTAAAGTGCATTGTTGTAAAACATTTTTCCTTTTGCCTTATACTTTAATATGTTTATTTCATTGATGGATGGATACCCCTTCCCATTTCCATGTTACCCCTCCTTTCCTACCCCTAATACAATGTTTGTATTATTATCATTTGTTATACAAAAAAAAACTTTAATAAAAATTATTTGAAAAGAAAGATGATGGATGGATGGATGGATGGAGAGAGGGATGGATGGAGAGAGGAATAGATGGATGGAGGGATGGATGAATGGAGAAATGGATGGATGGATAGAGAGAGGGATGGATGGATGGAGGGATAGATGGATGGATGGAGAGATGGATGGATGGATGGATGGATGGATAAAGCGAGGGATGGATGGATGGATAGAGAGAGGGATGGATGGAGGGATGGATGGAGAGAGGGAAGGATGGATGGATAGAGAGAGGGATGGATGGATGAAGAGAGGGATGGATGGATGAAGAGAGGGAGGGATAATTAGATGGATGGATGGATAGAGAGAGGGATGGATGGAGAGAGGGATGGATGGGTGGATGGATTGAGGGATGGATGAAGAGAGGGAAGGATGGATAGATAGAGAGAGGGATGGATGGATGAAGAGAGGGAGGGATAATTAGATGGATGATAGATGGAGAGAGGGATGGATGGAGAGAGGGATGGATGGATGGATGGATGGAGAGAGGGATGGATGGGTGGATGGAGGTATAGATGGATGAATGCAGGAAGAAAGGGGTAGGGAGGGATAAGGGTATGGAAGGATGGATGAACATACAGAAGGACAGACAGATGGATAATTGGAGTATGCATCCAGAGGTGAGTCATTTGGACATCAAGACTTTCTGTAGGGAAATAGTGGGACAATGATATAAGGGAATTACATTTTCCAAAAATCAGTTGGGGCAAATTGTACAAAATGGCATGCAAACCAGTGGACAATGCACTTATAACAAATCCCAGTATGTACATGCTTTATGTGATCCATTAAAAATTAAGATATATATACAGCAAAAAAAATCATTATGAAAATAAATGTAGAAAGACAATATTTTCTTACGTTTCATTGTTGTATTAAGTTCTCCGGGGCTCAAGTATTTGGTCTCTAAATTCTGGTGGTTTCCTTTGAATCAAAGTTTGCTTTCTATCCTCTAGTGAGCTCTATCCGTGCTCTGTGATAATATCGTATATGTTAATTATAACTATAGTCACTCATATCTATATATGGAAAGTCAAATGTCAATTATACTAATGCCACTGCATTTTCTTTCCCAGGAGTCAAGGGTGTCTCTCCGTATCAAGCATCAGGATGCTCAGATCAAGTTTGATACTTCTACTACTTCTCATTGCTCTGACAGGTAAGTCTTACAAGTAAAAATAAAAATCCCATTCCCCCTATAACAAAATGAGAGACCAGACAATAAAACCTCACTCTCCTGAATTCGTTAACATGTCTAATAGTGGCAGGTTAGTCCAGCAGGTTAGCCCTCAGCATTGGGAGGTATGCGATCAGGATGGGTCGGTGGGCCTATCTGGCTGGCCTCCAATCTACAGGACCTTGCAGAGTGCTTCTGAAGATCTCCGTGCAGGGACATTGTGCTCATTCACACCAGAACGCATTTAATGATGCACTTGCCATCAGCTGTGATCACCAGAAAATGATATCTCCATAATCAAGGATGCTGAAGATCTTTTTTTGCCCTCGACAGTTTCCCAAAAACAATAGGATGGCATCTATAGATTTTGTTTTACAATAAACACTACAAAAAGCTGCTATTATTATGTTGCTTAGAGTGTCCCTTTAATCTATGAGTAAATTATATATTAAATTATAAACCCTGGTTTCTAGCCTCGCACAGAAGCCCACAGATTCGGTGAGCCTTTGGTTCATTTGTCCTATTTTGCATATCCATTTGTACCGTGTTGTCAACATGTCTAGTGTGATATGATGATGACAGAATTGGGCCGCCGTTCATCCAGAATAAGTGTATGTATGCTGTGGAGTGTCGTTATTTTTTCCACTTGCACACTATGAGAGCGGTGAGCAGATCTGTCATTCAGCTCACCGCTCGTGAACATGCACACTGCACACATGCACAGTGTCAATTTCACAGCTTCTCATAGAGAATCATTGACTTCAAATATTCAGAATATTGAGAAATATTTGATTGTCAAAGCGTGGCAAGTGCCTATGGGTCACAATGCTTCTCTATTAGAAGCTAATAATTGGACCAGACAAATTGCCACAGGGAGACTTCAAACATCTAAGGAATACAAGTAAGTAAATACATATAACAATTAGGTTAATGAATCGATTTATTTTGTTTAAATTCCAATATTTTGCAAGTAGTATGTTGGCTCATGTTTTAGTGAATAAACAGCCTAATCTTTTATATTGAGTTTTTATTTATTTATTTTTATACTTTAATTTAACACATGTTCCTTCTAACAGGTTGCCAAGCTGACAATTCCCGCAGTAGATTCTGGGATTATTTCAGTCAACTGACCAGTGAGAAGCATCGATGGGACATACAGAATAATGCAGTACGAGATGGCAGGTAAGATAAAAAAATAAATTTTACGCATAAATATTAAAGATTTTGTCTGATTTTCATAGTGCTTATTCAGTTACATACTGCAGTAGCAACATCATTCATTACTTAGAATAAATGGGTTGGCAGACTAGACAGTAGGTGATAAAAATATTTTAAAGTATACAGAGGACCCCAGGATCACTATACCCAACAGAGAGCCTGATCATAACCCTCCGGCCCCTCACCTCAATGGAAGGGTAGAAATGTTAAGGGTAGATGCTGTCACCTCCCCTGTCCACCTTCATTAAATATGCACCTTAATTTCCCATGTACACTTCAGGTAAAACTCCATCTTCTAGACTTCACCACCACAGGTTGCTAGGTATAGCATTCATTGTCGCACTTTTAATTGTTAAAATGTTTTAAATTTTATGTATATTTTTTGTTTTGTTTTCTTTTATTACCTATAGCGGTCTGAAGGGCAGCATTCAAAATGGAGTTAATTATGTGGGCAACTTTTTGGGGCCATTGAAAAGTGGCTTACAGAAGCGACTGTATGAGGACTCTGACGGGCTGCGCAGGTTGATCAACAGGGAGATACAGGAGCTCCGTAGGAAGTTATACCCATATATGGATGTAGCACACCAAAAGATCAGCAGTAACCTTGATCAGTTACGGAGTCGTCTGCTGCCCTACACTCAAGAGCTGAAAGAGCAAGTGGAATGGGGTGCCCAAGAACTCCATGTACAGCTTGGACCATACAGAGATGGTAGCAAGATGGAAGCTTTACACAGACTGGGGGAAAACCTTGAGAACCGTATAGTCCTGCACACAGGCAGGGTCGGGCAAGTTTTCTACCCACTGGCTGATCGCTTGTTATTAGAGATCCATCATGCAGTAGAAGAGTTACATGGAAACCTAGCTCCTCATGCTCAAACATCTCAGGAGATATTGAGTCAGCAAGTGCAGGATCTATCTCGGAAACTGACTCGGAATGCAAAGGATCTTCATGAGAAGATCCAGAAGAATCTAAATGAGTTGAAGGAGCAGTTGGTGTCCTATCCAAAAGAACTGAAGCAAAAATTTCCCCAGGGCCAAGAAGCAGCACTTGAACCTGTAGCACCCTATATGGAAGAAATGGCGGCTCAGGTCCAGAGAGAGGTAGAGGAATTCCACAAGAACACTCAAAAACAGATTGAAGACTTCACCCGTGTCATTAATATGGAAACTGAAGAACTGCAACACAAATTGTCTCCTGCCTCATGGGACTTTCAGGACAGTGTTAGTTCAGTTGAAGATGTGCAGGAGAAATTAGACTCCTTGTGGAAGGACATATCCCAAAGTCTCAACTAGATACTAATAAATAGACTTGAGAAAACAGATGATGCATTACAACAAAAAATGTCCACATTACTTTCTGAAGTGGATCACAAAGAGGTGTGAAAATGAAGGACTGCACCTTAATTTAAAAATATTACTTACGAGCCAAGCTTCATAACTTTCTAATTTAGAAAATGAGTACCCATGTGTTTTACTAAGAAACAGGTGATATTATTTTAAATGTATCCTTTCTTTTTTTAAGGAAGATGTATATAGACCCCTTCCATGGTTAGGGTAATTATAATAAAAATTATAGTAATAAGTATATCACATGAATGTGCATGTTGATATCAAATGTAAACGCACAAAGATATAAATACAGCCGTGTAATTAGGGAAAAGACTTTGCGAATAAATGTTGAGTTGGGAGGATCAGCATCAGAAGATAGGAGAAGAATAGAGCAACAAAGACATAATTCATGGACTCTTATCTCCTGAAGGAAGAGGGAGTGTCTGCAGAAGGGCAGTAAACTAAATGAGGAAAATGACAGTTGACAAAAGCCCAAGACATGTTACATTGGTGGCAAAATAAACTTATAAAAATTCCTAATTACATATTGTGTGATAAGGTCATCGGTGGCATGAAAGCAATGGGTACAACTATGTCAAGAATCTCGAGGTTCTTTTGTTTCTATTATGTTCAACCACAATAAAGATTCCATCTTGACATTTTCAGACATAATCTTTTTATCCTAGAACCAGAAAGACACTTCTGAAGCACGTTGTCAAATTAACATGACTTTATTGACGTCACGGCCAAAATCGACAGACAAAATGGCCCTTTCGAAACCTGACAACGTTAGATTTTTAAATATGACCAGATCGCTTTAGTTGTGGCTTTAATAAAGGCTGATCAATGGGTCTGAGGTACATTGTAGAGTGGGATGTTGAGGTCTCTGCATAATGATCCACACATGACTGATCACTTGTACAAGAGTTGGAGAACCTTGCAGGGTTATTTACTAAATAATCGAGAATTGAACGTGAATACAAAGTGAATTTCATATTTAAGGTCAAAATAGCCAAAACTAGAAAAATTCTCTATGTAAGCTAAGCTTTAAGCTCAGCTGCTCTGGCCTTAAATCCGAAATTTACTTTGAATTTACTTCCAAATCTGACTTTAGAAAATAACCCTGTTAGTGGAAAGGCATGAAACACAAGGGGAATTCCAATGCGTTCCATACCACCTCATAGTCCTGCTGCTTTAAGACATATTCCTCTGTTTCTCAAAGATTACAATAATTATATATATTATTTGTTAATAATCATGACAAGTTGGTTTACAATTTTTTTTCATGTCTATACATTGAAAAACATGTCTATACATTGTCTGGAAGCATTGGAGGCTGGTCCATAGGTGCCATTGGGTTGGCAACTCCCCCTTCCCTGCAAAAAAACCCCAAAAAACATAAATAAATAAAGTCTATTTGCATTGTATGGACTGCTGATAGGTGCGTGTTAGAAAAAAACAAAAAGGACTCTCCATTTCATTATAAATTGTAGGTGCTGGCTTAATGGGTATTAAACGTCATGGTGCCAAATGGACACCGAATAGTTTAAATTACATGTTTGGACAGTTGGAAATTAGAACAACAATTCGTCATTGTGACGGTCCAACCCTCTCTGACCGTCTTGGGTTCCCTTTCTCCCAGTAGTTCGCGAATAATCCTTCCAGGCAGAGTGTAGACACAAGCATAGCATAACCCCTCACACATGAGCCGAGGTTTAATGCTGGGTAGAGATCTGTTTAATGCACACAAAGAAACAGTATTCGGGGGGCGTGTCTTGGCCACCATCTTAGATGGCCACGTTATAGAGAGGCTCCTGGACAAGGGGGACAACTTTGTACCAAAAGTGCCAATTTTAATTTGAATGGACCAATTTTGAGTTTAGATACAAGAAGCAATATCAGCACTGATCATGCAGAAACAAAAGAAAAATGAAAAATCCGTTCCTGGGACGAAGAAAATGGAAGCAGGAGCGGCTGGGGTGAGTAAGGGTTCCCAGGCTCGCTCCCCTGCTTCCAAATCCGGCTCGCGGCTTGTTTCGCCGCTTAAACTTTCGTTGGTGGCGTCGGGGAAATCTCTCCCTACCTCCCTCCCGGTCTCCCGCCCGGTCTCCCTCCCCAAAACTTATGCTTGTGCGGCCGCGACCCGTCCGCAGCTTCCTGAGGGCGGCGGGACCGCGACCGCACTAGCCGGCACTCCTGTGTGCGGCTCAGAGTGCTCCGAGCACTCGGCATGCTCGGAGCACAGCGCTGTGTCTCCCGCGAGCGGCAAGGACCTCCCTGCAAGCCGCTCGCGGTCTCACTCCAGGGCAGCCCGGTCGCTCACTTACAAAAGCGACCGGGTTGCTAGTAAAGGGGAGGGCAGTGCGAGGTCACGCTCCCCGTCGGGATCCTCAGCCTCCAGGCTGTCGGTCCCGGCGGGGGGGGCCTCTGCTGTCCGACCCAAAGTATTTAAAGGGGCAGCAAGGGCTACAGTAAGCCCAGATGAAAATCTTATGGAAATAGGGGCTGAAGTGCTCCAAAAAAGTGCCTTCTCTGCACTACCACAGAGAACACGTTATGTTGCCACAACAAAGATGGCTGACAGTCCAGATACTGTATTTTCCACTTCCAAGATGGCCGCTGCCACCTCCAATATGGCTACTACCACATTTAAAGCTGCGACCTATAATCCTAATATGCCACTTGAATTGGCAGCAGACCTGCCACCGTCAGCTGGCATGATAATTCAACTTATCAAAGATTTGAGAGTTGATTTGAAAAATGACTTTAAAAATGACTTTGACACATTATATGGAGCCATGGAGGGCATTAATCAGCGTACAGAAATAATAGAGAATAAATTGCACTCTCAAGAGCAATCTCATCTGGATCTGGTTGAAACCGTAAAGGAGCTCCAAAAGCAAGTGCACCAACAAGCAGAAAAGCTTGCCGACGCTGAAGATAGAAGTAGGCGTAATAACCTAAGGATCAGGGGGATCCCAGATAATATCGACTCCCAGGAATTACAAAGCTATTTCCAGACAATGGTGAAGTCAGCTCTACCAAACGCAAAAAATACGGATTTATTACTGGATCGCATTCATAGATTGCCCAAACCCAGCAATGCTCCTCCAGCTGCACCCAAAGACGTGATAGTGAGATTCCACTACTATCACATTAAAGAAGAATTTCTAGGTGCAGTACGCACGTCAGGTCTCACAGGAGATTACAGCAGCATGAAGGTCTTTCAAGACTTTTCTGCTCAAACAATGAAGCGACGCAGGGAATTTCAACTTTTTACTGCGGAGCTAAGACGAAGAGGGATAAGATATAGATGGGGATTCCCGGTTAAAGTCCTTTTCCGTATGGATGGTCGGAATTTTATAGTCACGTCGCCTGAAGAAGGAATGGAACTCATCAATACTATGAATGGACGTCAGGTTTCGCCTCATAGACTCTCGCCATCTACTCCTGTTCAGGCCAGCAAGAGAAGCAAATCGGACACCTCCTGAGATCCCAGCCCAAAGAGGCATAGTCTTCCTTTTCTATGGTCATCATCGAGTCCTGCTCCAGTCCGGCGATTTATCGGGATTACTTTGAATTTTGATTTGTTTCTCCTTTTTATGACAGACTTCTGAGTTCTTCCACTAACGGTTATTTGTCCTGTGCCTTTTCGGTTTATTTTAGAAACCGATCTTTCTATTTAAAACTTTCTAAACTTATACAATCAAAATATTTTTTATTTAATTTTTTTATTTATATAATTTCATATTTATTTAATTTTATAATTTTTTTTTAAATTTTTTTTTTTTTTTATTGTTCTGTGCTTTTTACCTTTTCAATTGTCATACTTAAAAAGTTGCTTTTTGATTTTTACTACCTATATTAGCTCCCCCTGCACCCGGTAGCCTTCTCTCCCCCCAACCTGGGCCTAACACCCTGAGATGGAGAAACTTTTTTTGTTCTCCCTCATGGCCCTCTTTCACTGTTTTTGTTTTACCCCTGATAGGGGTATATATCCAAGTTTTTTGTTCCCCTTTTTTATTCTTTTATATTTTTTGTCCATTCATCATTTAAAGTTCAGTAGAAATGTTTTTAGACCACGAAACACCGCAATGCTTTATACAAAAATGCATAATACATGGCATCTGCAAATTGTAAATATCTGTTTACTCATTATTCCTGTACACACAAGTACACAGCTTGAGTTTGCTTTAATAGCTTTGTTGGACTTGCATGTTTCTCTCTTGGAAGGTGGTGGCTGGGACTCTCACAAGATTGAATGTTCCTTTACCCTTTATCAGGTATATAAACCATGGTCTTAAAATATATGTCATTTAATGTGAGAGGCCTGAACACCGCCCACAAGAGACGATTATTATTCAAAGAAGCAAAATCCAACAAATCAGATGTGCTTTGTGTACAGGAAACACATTTTAAAGATGATAAAGACCATAAAATCATGTCAAAGCTTTTCCCAGTTCAATACCATTGCACTTATAAATCCAAGTCTAGAGGTACATCGATTTTTTTTCACAGGAATGTAGCATGCTTGACAAACAAAGTTATAAAGGATGATGACGGGAGGTATTTAATATGGATAGGATCACTTAATACTATTGAATATACTATTGTGAACATGTATTTTCCAAACACCGGTCAGTTGCAATTTTTTAGGAAATTGATGGACTTAGTGAATGAGAATGTGAGAGGCAACTTGGTAATGTGTGGTGACACGAATTTTGTGATGGATGGAGAGTTGGATAACGCTAGGGAAGACCGTGATCGACAGCTTAGAGGGGACAGTGACAGATTAGCGTATAAATGTTCCAGATATATGATTGAATGTGGCTTATACGATCCTTGGAGATTGTTGCATGAGAATGAAAGAGATTTTACGTATTATTCTGTCTCTAAAAATATGTATTCCAGGCTGGACCGGTTTATGGTCCAGGGTGCTTTAATTCCGCACATCTTGAAATCTGATATCTTAAACATCAACTGGTCCGACCATGCTCCAATCATAATGCATATTGACGAAATTGTTTCATCAGCCCCTAACAGAACTTGGAAATTAGGTGATTATTTGTTAAATGATGTTGTGAACAAGTCACTGACGGAGAAAGCTTTGTGTGATTATTTTTCAGAGAATGCCTCGCCCGAGGTTCCTGGCGAGGTGACTTGGAATGCGCATAAGGCTGTGTTAAGAGGTCATTTTATTTCTAGAGCGTCTTACCTGAAGAGAATTAATAGCAATAATTTAAGAACATTGGAAAAAGAACTGTATAATTTGAACCAAGCTAATAAATTTGGTCCATCGTCCTCCCTATCAGCAATGATAGGAGAAATTAAGGCTAAAATCAACAAAATTAATTTAGATCGTACATCTCTCATGGTGAGACGTCTCAGGAAAACATTTTACTTAAAAGGTAACAGGGCCTCAACTCTTTTGGCATCCAAACTCCGGCATGTGAATGCCCAATCAAAAATAGCATATTTACTTGATGATCAGGGGCAAAAAGTGTTTCATCCAACTAAAATTAGTGATATGTTCGCAGAGTATTATAGTAAACTTTATAATTTAGAATGTAATTTGGACCTCCCCCAGCCTTCTACAACAATAATTGATAAATTCTTAGACAGAGTGTCATTGCCTCGGCTTTCTCCAGTACATTTAGAAAGCTTAGAATGTGAAATATCAGCAGCAGAGATAGCTGAGGCAATTAAACTTATGCCATCTGGAAAAGCCCCTGGTCCCGACGGATTAACTATTTTATATTATAAAACTTTTCCAGAAATTTTAATTCCCCATATGACTAAATTGTTCAATTCCTATAAGTCCGAGGGAAAGATGCCAGAGGAGTCCTTGTGCGCACGAATAGTTACTTTGCCAAAGCCAGGGAAAACTCCCGATAGATGCCCTAACTTTAGGCCCATTTCTCTGATTAATAATGACTCAAAGATTTATTCTAAAGTTCTCGCTAATAGATTAACCAAACTAATCCCATTGTTAATTAATAAAGATCAAGTAGGTTTTGTGCAGAATAGACAGGCGCCAGATGGAACTAGAAGATTCATAAACTTGATTCAGCACATCAATATGACCAAAACGCCTTCTTTGCTTCTATCTCTTGACGCTGAAAAAGCGTTTGACAGGATACATTGGGGATATTTATGGAGAACATTAGATAGGTTCAACATACCATCATCATTTATCACAGCAATTAAGGCGTTATATTGTGCACCCTCCGCCCATGTCTCAGCTTCTGGCTTCACATCCAAAACTTTTTCCCTAACTAACGGGACGAGACAGGGGTGCCCTTTATCTCCAATTTTGTTTGTTTTAGCGATAGAACCCCTGGCAGAACTGATTAGGACAACCCCACAAATTGTAGGAATTGCGGTTAAAGAAACCGTTCACAAAATTGGTTTGTTTGCAGATGATATAATCCTAGCTATCAAAAACCCAAAAGAATCTTTGAGACACCTCAAGGATATTTTAACTCAATTCGGTGAGATATCGTATTACAAATTAAATGAGTCCAAAACTCAAGCCCTTCCGTTTCATTTAAACAATTTGGAAACCATTGCCCTTAAGAAATCATATTTATTTGATTGGAGAACTGAATATATGGAATATCTCGGCATTAATTTATGCAAAAATTTGGTCAATATGCACAATCACAACCTGAGGAAAGCATGGTCAGACCTACAAAAAGAGATGGAGAGATGGGGTGGGATGGAGCTCTCATGGCTGGGGAGGGTCGCATCTATTAAAATGACGATACTCCCCAAAATTTTATATTTTTTTAGGACCATTCCTCTGTCCATTCCATTATCATTTTTTAATAAAGTTCATTCGACAATGTTGAAATTTATATGGGGGAACAAGCCTGCCCGAGTGAGGCTCACTTCCCTGCAGCACCATAAATCGAACGGCGGTATCGGTGTCCCCGATATCCGCAAATATTATTTCGCCACTAATGCTGCAGTGGTTGTGAGCTTTAACAACCAGGATGATAAACCCAGATGGATGGAGATAGAGGAATCAAAAATTTCACCGGTTAGACTATCAGAATTACCTTGGTTAAATCCTAAGAAAAGACCTGGAATTACAAGATTATTTTTATCCACTAGGACTACGCTTAAGGCCTGGGACATTGTTTTTAAAAATGACCAGTCTCCCAGTTTATATAGAGCAATGCCTATTGAATTATTGAAAGATCATATACCATCCTTAAAAATAGAATTATTGAAGGATTGCTCTATAACTAATTTGGACAATTTTTTTTATGGCAATGCTATTCTTTCTTTGGAAAAATTGAAGCTTAAGTATGGATTGTCGAATGCATGTGAACTGGAATGTATGATAATCATTGATAAATTGAAAGAACTATACCAGGTACCTGAAACCGATAAAAATTATAAATCACTTGAGATATCTCCTTTAGAGAAAGTTATTTTATACAGCCCCGCTAGTAAAGGTATGATATCCTTATGTTACTTATCTCATAATGCCAAGCCCTTAATTAAATTAAAACATATGCTGTCATGGGAGACGGAGTTGGGTGCCCAGTACGATTTAGAAGAATGGTTCGGTTTCTTTACAGGTTTAAAAGGTATTTCATATTGCACCGACCATTTTGAAAATCATTATAAAATCTTATATCGCTGGTACCTGGCCCCGTCTAGATTACATAACATGAACAATATGTATTCGGACCGATGTTGGAGAGACTGTGGGGGATTGGGCAATATGGCCCATATCTGGTGGTTCTGCCCCAAGTTAATTAATTATTGGAAAATGATCCACAATCTGATTATTAAAGTGAACGGAACCATTAGTATCTTAACCTCGGAACTAGCCTTATTTAAAAAACTCCCGGAGTCTGTTAATAGATCAGATAAAATAATCATAGGCCACATTCTGATCGCTGCTACATCCTGTTTACCTAGACATTGGAAGTCTCAAAATGTGCCATCTCTCAGAGAAGTTTTTAATTTGATTTTAGAAAATAAGGCACATGAACTATCACACAGAGCCAATATGCATGGTTTCCCAATACTAAAATACAACTGGGATAAATGGGAAGAAAAAATCAAAACAATTTATGGTCTTTGATATATTTATTGTTAAAGTGCATTGTTGTAAAACATTTTTCTTTTTGCCATATACTTTAATATGTTTATTTCATTGATGGATGGATACCCCTTCCCATTTCCATGTTACCCCTCCTTTCCTACCCTTAATACAATGTTTGTATTATTATCATTTGTTATACAAAAAAAAAACTTTAATAAAAATTATTTGAAAAGAAACAGTATTCATGCAGTAAAACCACTCCTGCTCTCAGGAAAACAAAATGACAGTTAAAAGGGTCAGACAGAGTTTGAAAATATGACAGTTATAAGGTCAGACAGAGTTTGAAAATATGACAGTTATAAGGTCAGACAGAGTTTGAAAATATGACAGTTATAAGGTCAGACAGAGTTTGAAAATATGACAGTTATCAAGGGTTTAAACTGGTGTTCTAAGAGGGGGGAGAACAAAACAGTCGAACTAAGTCCATAAAACAGGGGCCTTCTTCACAGTCATATTGGCTGCTTATGCCTCTGCTGGAAATTAAGTGTCAGTTCTTCTGCTTAGATATAATTTTCCAAGAGATAATTACCACCTTACATATGTTTCTTTTTGTGCTGTGCCTGTACTGTATTCTATACTGAATAAAATCAAAGCATAGCATTCCTCACTGCAAAATACATTTGACACAAGATATGAGGTTTAAAAACACAAAATTCAGCATATAAGGATTAAGATCCCATAGGCATGTTACCAGTTTGGGCCCCCTTTTCATTCTACTCGTAGGGATGGTTAATAAGGCCAGGTGAATCCATGGTTCTGAGGCCCCTGTCTTACCCCATGGCCATTGGTGGCAGCTTTTGGTTGTGTTATGGTTAATCCTGCTTTGAAGCTATGGGAATGATAGTAGTACTAAAAGTTAAAAATTCTTCACATGGAATTCCTTAGTCCCATCACTCTTCTTTTGTTTGTGGGTTGGGGGACATGGTGCCTCAGAGATCCCAGAAGATATTCAAATTCAAAACCTACAGGGCTGAAGTGATGTTGGAGCTAATCACGATTTATATTGTAGTGTAAACGTTATCATGGCTCAACTATCAAAAGTATACTCCATTAGAACTTGGCGAAATGAAATCACAACTTCCTACAAGCACGTTTATGTATAAATATCCCAGTTTGTACATAGAATAGACTTTAAGAGCAGGATAATAGATCGCAGAGTTAAACACAAACAATGAGCAGGCACGGAGAACATAGAAAGCTGAGGTCTAACTCGATTGATTCGATGCTGATGATTTGGGAACAAAATATGAGCCCTGATGATAGCTGAGTATTACGCACACTCTGTCAGTGGGTTAATAACCTTTTTCAACAGGTACCCAAAATACATGGAAGCAGCCTGGAGAGCCCACAAGAACTCATGCACAGACTAACTATAGAACAATAAGAGACACATACAGTGACATTATAAGGCACTTAGACACACTAGCTCATTTATACAACCAGAGATTAATGCTAACAAACACACGCACGCATGCATGCACACAAACACACACACACACATATATACATATACTAACACACATACATAGACACACATGCCTTTGCTCAGCTTTCAGATATGTCAGTGTATGAGCCTAGATGATCATGGTGCTCCTGACCAATCGGTGTGACCACTGGCAGGCCTGGGGGACAGTGGCTTTATGTATGGGGATTGTCATTTAGAATAGTGACATCATTTACATTGTATTATTGACATAGTGCCATATTGCTATTTACATATTATTCATCATAAGTGCTTAGTAATTTATTACTACAATAATGCTGGACACCTGAATTTTCCTATGATATACACATCCCGTACAGCATAATATATAAGGGACAAACTATTTTCTGGTTCAGTTGGTTTCACTCTTATATTTTCAGACTTTTTATCTCTTCTCCTCACACACCATCTCTTTCAAACTTCAAAACCTCCTTGCTTAGACAACTGCTGACTGCAGCGAAGGCCTTGATCCCCTGCATTGGAGAGAAACCACTGCCGCCTCTTTTTGAGAGTGGGTAAGCAAGTAGGTGAGATTCCAAATATGGAGCTTGTCTATGGTTCCACTGGGACCAGTCCTAGAATACGATGCCTTACTTTCCATGACTTCTCAACTGTATCATGTCTGAACACCTCGTCATATCTCATGCCATCATATATAGGATCTGATTCTTTTTTTACCCTAATTTTTTGCTTTCTATTGACTAATATTCTCAATTTAAAAAGTTGTATGTCTATCCCTATGATATTGGATAATAATCAGAGCAGTATTAAACAAAAGGTAACCCTAGATGGCTGCCTAGGACCCAGGGGATAGACAGGGCCCATGGGGCCCATTAACCATCTGTAACCTGCTCAGGCTGCCATGGGATCTTAATCCTTATCTGATAATATCTCACCTTTACCCACTTCATTCCTCCCTATCTCATTCTTCACTCATTTGCCTTGTCCATTGTCCCCTCTAAAATGTAATATTCCGCTGATATTGACCAACGCTCTAATACTGTTTTATGATCATTAATACATATATAGGTATATCATATAAACAGAGATATAAAAGTCATAATAAAAGCAAGTAACCAAGCATCAGGCTGCATCACCTGATGGTATAATATGTTTAAAGCACTAAATTAAAATAGGTTTCTTAAGCCAATCTTCATAATTGAAAACATTAATAAATACAATTATAAATATGCTTGACTGAAACGCAGATTTGACACAATGAATGGAATATAATTAGTACAGTTTTGTTAAATAATGATATCTACACTAATGCCAAATTCATGCATACAGTGGAAAATATCTACCGAAAATATTGGTGAAATAAACGAATTTATCCTTGAAGAATACCAACTGATGTTCTCTTCAGAAACCACAAGGTGTCACAGCAATCTATTCTATCTAGCAGGTGAAAGAAGAGGGAACATTTTAAGAAAACGTGTATTACAGATAACCGCAAACATAAATGAAATATACACTGTGACAAACTGTCCCCTTCTACCATGCCTGCTGCTCTATTAGCCCAGAAACATATAATATATATATATATATATATATATATATATATATATATATATATATATTGTGATAAAGTGAAGGCAGATAGGCCTATAACATTTAACCCCAGGGGAAGTATGTGTAGTATGTGTTGTAGGCAACACAAACCAAAGTTTAGTTATGGGCCCCTGGGGTGCAGCATTTGGAGAGCAGGGTGGGCCAATGCTCCACTCCGCAGTTTGCATACAACTGGGAGAAATAAGTTCCAGGCCAGAGTGTTGATCTGTCTTCAACCCACTGCTCAGCTGCAGATAATCAGCTGCAGCAGTGGGAATAAACCCCTCCCTGCTAGGCAGGTAAAGGGGGATTGTTGGCTTCCTCCCTGGAAGCAGGTAGGAGAGACGCTGCTCGAGAGAGAGAGAGAGAGAGAGAGAGAGTGTGTCAAGGAGACTGAGCACTGTGTGTGCAGAAGGAAAGCAATTAAGGCTGGCTTGGAGCACTGGGAGTGCAGAAGGAAGCAGTCAAGGCTGGCTTGGAGGACTGGGAGTGCAGAAAGGAAAGCAGCAGGCTAACTGAGAGCACTGGAGTGCAGAAAGGAGAGAGAATTTTGTTTCTTTCTAGAAGGAATGGAAGCCACATGCTAACTGAGTGTGGAATGCAGGGATCTGACAAAGGCACTAGGTTGGTGAAACCAATTCTTGTTCTGTTATAGTTTAAACCCTTGAGAGATAGGGAACCTGATGTTAGTTAGTGCTCAGACCGAGCTAGGGTTTTGTTTATAGGGATTTGTGTTACTGTTTTTTTTTCATTTGCTGCTGTATCTGTGGTGGAGTTTAACAATAAAGTGCTGGAATTAAGTTGCCTTAAAAGACTGTGCATGTTTGTGCCCAAGAGGACCGTGCTACCTGCAGACAAGGATCACGATATATAAAGAGTGGTCCCAATCAAGTAGCAGAACTAGCATCTCAACATCCCACAAGGACTGCATATGAAATAGATACATATTAATATATTTTTAAGGTATATACATAACGGTAAACAGCCATTCTTTAGATAAAACTGAAGAAATATTTGAGCAGCACTATGACTGTCACAAATTAATTACTTGGCACCAGAATTGATCTCTACTGACATCTAATGTCTCTTTTGGAAATTGCATCAATGCAAAGGCATTCATCTATTTTGTGGGTATTTGCAAAATGACCAGCATCACATGTGATTCCAAACTGGTACATCATCTCCAAAAAGGCTTGCTATAGAGAGATGCAATAAAAGGCAGGAAATCGACACGGGGTATATGACTTGAGAAGGTGCGACAATATTCCTCAGCCACCCCAGACTTATTCCAGGTTACTATGCTTTGCAGCTTACTATGATCAGAGGAAGGATTTTTTTATTTATTTATATAATTACATTTGGTTCTACTTTGTGAAACTTCATAGAAAGCACCCAATGGCCGTACTGCTTCTCTTCCTTGCTTGCGGTGGATCCAGTTGACGGAGAAGTCACTTGCTGACAATTAAATCTGCCCTGTTTGCCTGGCACCCTCACTTGGTATTCAGTATTTGTAACAACCTGCCATTTGTACCATCTCCTTGCTATCATTCCTGGAATCCATAGTTACATAATTCAAACCTTGTCTCATTCAGTTGACTGCCGCTTACTTTCAGGGTCAGATTAACATAGGGGTTATTGGAGCTGAAGCCTCACATTGCAATAGACCCAAGCCACTTTTTTTTTTGTGAACTGCCACCCCTAAATTACTGCATGCCATTGTCATCGTGTGTGGTCAGGCAGGCACACATGCATACCTCCCAACATTACAAAATATGTTATTGTAATGGGGTGGGATGGCCATGGAGGCATTCCGGTAGCACAACTTGACATAGCACTCAGTTGGTCCATTTCCCATGATAAAGACAAAGGAAATTCCACCTCCAAATCTAAGTCTTTCTGTTAGCTAGACACTCTAAGGATACAACAACCCTAACTCTCCCCAAGCCTGACGTAATATTTTTTTTGTTGTTGTAGCATTGAAATTTAGTTACAATAACCTGCAATTTTCAGAAAGGTTTTTTTCCAATGGAATCTCACTGCAGCAATAAGATCTATTTGAACATACAGTGATCTGTTTGACCCAATTTGGTAGTTAGTGAATACAGTGAAGAACAGGGAAATTTTAACAACCGAATGCAGGAGTACTAAGCCGAATGCAATCAGCGGAAACTGCAAAACCAAAGACACCATATTTTTTCTCATTTAGGCATTAGTCAATAACACCATTTAACTCACGACACAAGCTCTAAATAAACCATTTATAATACTATTAGTATTGGCAGTAGAAAAAGTTCTCATGCCATTGTACAGAACACTGGTGAGACCTCACTTGGAGTATTGTACACAGTACTGGAGACCGTATCCCCAGAAGGATATTGATACTTTAGAGAGAGTTCAGAGAAACTGGTTCATGGATTGCGGGATAAAACTTACCAGGAAAGGTTAAAGGAACTTAACATGAATAGCTTGGAGGAAAGACGAGGCAGGGGGATATGATAGAAACATTTTAACATGCTTGCCTTTCTTCAATCTCGGATTGGATGTCCTCCCGCTTTCTGAAACTCAATCTCTCTAAAACTGAGCTTCTTATTTTTCCCCCTCATAATGCTGATCCTCCTCCTTCGCTTTCCCTGCAAGACGACGGTACTTGCATCAGTCCGTCCTTGCAAGCTCGTTGTCTTGGTGTTATCTTTGACCCTGGCCTCACCATTGCTCCATATATCCAGTATGTTGCTACAACCTGTCGATTCCACCTTAAAAATATTGCAAGTTGCTGCCAAGGAGCTTGTTCATGCTCTGGTAATCTCTCGCATGAACTACTCTAATCTCTCCTAGTTGGTCTCCCCAAAAGCCGAACTGCCCCGCTACAATTGGTAATGAATGCTGCCGCCAGGCTGATCTTTCCCACCCGTCGCTCCTCCCGTACCTTGCCCCTCTCTTGATCCTTACACAGGCTTCCTGTATCCTATAGGTGTCAATTCAAAATACTAACCCTTACCTATAAAGCTCTAACCAACTCTAGCTCCTGCTACATTTCTTCCCTGATTCATAGATATGCCCCTTCTCTGTCTCTCCACTCTACTGGTGACCTTCTCGTGTCCGCTGCTCACACCCTTATTGCTAACTCGCGCTTGCAGGACTTCTCACGGGTGTCTCCCTATTTTTGGAACAGCCTGCCTACCCCCATCAGACTCTCCCCTAGTCTTCAATTATTTAAGAAGTCCCTCAAGACACCTCTGTTCAGAAATGCTTATGGACTCCCAGAGTAACTTATCTATACTTGTCCTAATCTGTCTCCGGCTCTCACCTCCAGTTCTGCTACTTTTCCACCTTGTTTGGTGGCTGTCACCCTTGCTGTCCTGTTGTTTATTTGTACCCCACCTGTAAGCTCGTGTGAGCATGGTCCTCACCTACCTATTGTTTCTGTGTCACTGTATAATTGTCTAATTTATTGTAAATTTCTCCCTTTCATAATATTGTAAAGCACTGCGGAATTAGTTGGCACTATATAAATACCATTATTAATAATAATAATAATAATAATCAAAAATACATAAAGGGAATCAACACAGTAAAGGAGGAGACTATATTTAAAAGAAGAAAAACGACCACAAAAAGAGGACATAGTCTTAAATTAGAGGGGCAAAGATTTAAAAATAATATCAGGAAGTATTACTTTACTGAGAGGGTAGTGGATGCATGGAATAGCCTTCCAGCTGAAGTGGTAGAGGTTAACACAGTGAAAGAGTTTAAGCATGCGTGGGATAGGTATAAGGCTATCCTAACTATAAGATAAGGCCAGGGACTAATGAAAGTATTTAGAAAATTGGGCAGACTAGATGGGCCGAATGGTTCTTATCTGCCGTCATGTTGTTTGCAAGGAGCATCAGTTGCACATGGATACCGACTACAGATTAGAACGCCTCAATCAATTAAATAATATATCGTATCTCAGGAACAGTCACTCTATACCACAAGATGGCAGTCTTCTCAATGCCCTCGTACACCAAGACACTCTGTTACCAGACTCTGTTTCACGTTTATTATGCAATATGTTGTTTTTGTTTTTCACTAAGAACAGATTCTTTGTAAAGAACACTTGACAGATAACAAGTGATTAAGTTTATATTATTGAAATTCTGCTAAAGTCATAAAACCCCCTGCAGAATCATAAATTGATAAGCTAGGCAATCACACCGGAGACAGCCTTTCACGCTGCAGACGGTTTCCATAAATCAGTTCTTTTTATTTATTTCTCACAGCTGGGGTGATCGCATTAATTGTATGATAGGAAGTAATCATTCCGTGGGGTGGCGGGGGCATGTCACCTATTCTTTGTGAGCAATTTGTTTAATGTACAGATTGTTGAATTTTGCAATTCAAACAAAGAAAAATCTGTCTGACTTTGATAATGTTGACAATCACAAATATGGATGTTTGCTCGATAGTAACAGGATATTAGTACTTATATGAGGAGATGCTGATTGGTGCAATATGCCATAACCTCCCAATGATTGGCTGAGATTGTCAATAGATCAGCGCGGAGTGTGAAAAAAAGGTATGTAAAAATCCTTTCCCATGCGATCGAATAGATGGCTGGGGACCTAAATAGTTCATTTAATACTATAGCGTCAGGAATAAATGTTTGTATTTCTGACACTATACTGTTCCTTTAACATCTATTAAAGGGAAACCAACACTTCCCAGGATTATTTGATATTATGTTTACTTATTCCATCCTATAATTAACAAATGTGTTTTTCTGAGGTTTGAAAAATAAAATTACATGTAAAAATTCATACCTGTAAATTACTGTTATAAACATTTGCTTTTTCTGATGTTGGACGTATAAACAGAGGAGAAACTTGAAAATGAAAATCCTTTTCCGGAAATGAGGAAAAATATGACAATGCTTCCATCTACAGAAAAATATAGTTAGCTATGAGTCATGAATTGTTTGACATACCCCATATTAATTGGTCCGTAAAACTGAGACACTTAAAATCTGATAAAAAGTTAGTTATAAACTACGTGATCAAAATATATCAGATTAAGTTGGTAAATGTAGGAACAATGTCAGACGAGGCATTCTTAGTCCTTCCATGTAATTATTGCAGTTTCTGTAAAAATGCAATAATTTATATTGCAAGGCTAAGTTGGACAGTGACACTGCACCCAGACTACTTCAATGAGCTGAAGTGGTTTGGGTGACTAAAGTGTTCCTTTTGTTAAATTCTCCTTGAGTTAGTATAAAGCTGACCAAGGAGCTAATTCGTACCTCTGGAAATGGCAGTCTTGATTTTAGTGATAACTATGGCTTCTCCTTATCTTATATTAAAAATTAACTGTCACTTGGCAAGACTTTTAATATTAGGTTTAGTTATCTCTATATTTAACAAATATGTATTTGTGAGGTGTGCAAAATAACATGAAATGTAATCCGCACCTCATTCACTAAAAATTTTTTATAAAATTTAAAAGAAAACAGATAATTTAATGAAATAAATTGTGGGGGGTTTTTTTCAGTGGTGTAAATTTCAGAAAACTGACAAACCTTTTTAAACTAGGTGCCAAAACACAAACTGTCTGAGAACAGGCTGTTAGATTTCGGAATTTGTTTGGATATAAAAGAAATGAAATTAAAAAATAACAACGTATAAACCCACAAATTCCAAACACGTAAAAATTATTTTATTTACATATAGGCAAAATAAGTGATAATATTCTTGCAAATCTCTAGCATGTGGGACCACCTCCTGCTTTAAATCTTTGAAATGTGGTTTGATGGATTCCCTTAGCGCATCCATTTCTTTTTCTACCAGAGTAACATAGCGCTTGGCCAATTCACCATGCATTTCTTTACGATTCTTTTCCAGTTCATTTTTCAAACCTTCCAAATATGGAACTATTTTTGCATGCAATTCTTTTACCTCGAAGCGTAATTTGCCACACCCTTTCTCAAGAACTGGTGCCACATTTTCATAGAATTTCTCCACTTGATTTTTTAGGCCATTGAATAAGTTTAGTGTGTGAATGAAAATATCCTTCCTCATGTTCAATGCATACTCATCCCAGCGTTTTCGAAAGTCTATCAACTGAGGGAGGATATTTTTCTTAAACACTGGGTACTTCTCATCCAGCGTCTTGTCCACATCTTCCACATCATGCGTATTAATTACTTGCATAAATTCATCAGAGATGGTCTTCAAAGTGTCAAAGTGTTCCTTAACTCAACTCTTTGTAGTGTCTCTCTCAGAAGTCATGTCACACCCAGCACCTATAACACAGTTGCCACCCATAACTTGCAAACACACAATACCAGGCATCTTCTATATAAATAGAGAAAGGTAGACACAGACAGACAGATAGATAGATGATAGATAGATAGATAGACAGACAGACAGACAGACAGACAGACAGATAGAGAGATAGATAGATAGACAGACAGACAGGCAGATAGAGAGAGAGAGAGAGAGATAGATAGATAGATAGATAGATAGATAGATAGATAGATAGATAGATAGATAGATAGATAGATAGACAGATAGATAGATAGACAGACAGAGAGATAGATAGAGAGATAGAGAGAGAGATAGATAGACAGACAGATAGAGAGATAGATAGACAGACAGATAGATATATGATAGATAGATAGATAATAGAGATAGATAGATAGAGAGATAGACAGGTAGATAGATGATAGATGATTCATAATAGATATATGACAGATATATAGATAGGTAGATAGATAATACATAGATAATAGAGAGAGTGAGAGAGATATTGATCGATATATAGATAGACAGGTAGACAGATAGATGATAGATATATAGATAGATAATAGATGACAGATATATAGATAGGTAGATAGATAATAGATAGAGAGATAGATGATAGATAATAGAGAGAGAGATATTGATCAATAGATGATAGATAGAACGAGTTATACAATATATTGAGTTTATTAAGCTGGGTTTGCATTGCCGGTGCATATACTAAATCCCCATAATCAATGATTGGCATCAGCATTTGCTGTACAATCTTTTCCTTTACTGTAGGGCTTAGGCACAATTTGTTTCTGTACAGGGCACCTAGTTTTGGATAAAGTTTAGATGCAAGTTTTTCTATGTGCAGGCCAAAAGATAGATTGGGGTCTAATATCATACCCAAGTATTTGAAAGAGTGGACCACGGTCAGTGTGCCATTTGAATTTGTTTTGATGGATAGGTGGGAATTGTGTAATTTGTGTAATTTAGGTACTGTTCCAAAGATCATCGTGACAGTTTTGTCAGTGTTTAGGAAGAGTTTGTTTATTGCGATCTACTTTTCTACCTCTGTAAACTGGTCTTGGAGCACAGCCTCAAGCTGTGGTAGATCGGATTTGCTAGCATAGATTACCGTGTCATCTGCGTACATGTGTGCATTTGAGGATTTGCAGACATTAGGCAGATCATTTATAAATAATGTAAATAGTAGGGGGCCGAGAATGGAATCCTGGGGAACACCACACGTGACTGGGAGAGGGAGGGAGTCGCTGTCAGAAATGGACACATATTGCGAGCGATCCGATACATACGATCGAAACCAGTTTAGAGAATGATCACCAATACCTGAGTTTTTGAGTTTGTGCAGTAGAATGTTGTGGACTACTGTGTCAAGGGCCTTAGCAAAATCAAGGAAAATAGCTCCAGTTAGGGCTCCTTGTTCCATGCCAGTTTGGATGTCATTGCAAACTTTTAGGAGGGCAGTTGTAGTGGAGTGATTCTGGCGAAGGCCCGATTGATCAGGGGTCAGATAGTTAAATTGTTGGTAGTACTCACAAAGTTGCGTATGGACACATTTTTCTAAGATTTTTGACAATACCGGGAGCAATGATATTGGGCGATAGTTAGAAACCAAAGTAGTGTCACCACTTTTATGGATAGGCCCTACTCTCGCAGCCTTCCAAAGTTTGGGTATGTATCCAAACACCAAGGATTCGTTAATTAGAGTTGAGACGGGTTTAGTAATTGCCGGCGCACTGAGCTTTGCTGGGATTTGATCGGGTCCAGACTGTTTTTTCATTTTTAGATTATTAAGATGTTTTTTAATTACACTAATAGGTACAGGTCTAAAAATAAACTTGTCTATATTGGGCCTTTGCAAATTTAGTGGGACCTGATCCACATTAGTAGTTTCAGGATGCGTATCATTTATTAGCTTGGCAATCAGGGCAGTAGAGCATCCGACAAAATAATTGTTGAAGGCATTTGCTACATCTAAGGGAAGTTGCAGGGTTTGGTTATCCACTTTGACAGTGGAGGGTTGGGAGTGGATTGGGGGAGTTTGTAGTGTATTTATGACTTGCCAAAAGTTACTAGGGTTTGAGCAGGGCCGTCTTTAACGCGGGGCAAACGGGGCAGCTGCCCCGGGCCCAGTTGCTCCTGGGGGCCCAGAGCAGCTGCTCTGTGGGCCCCGCGATTTGCGCAGGCCCTGCGGTGCGGCTCCCGCACACTGAGGAGGCTCCCCGGGTGGCCCATGCACTAAGGGCCACCCGGGGAGCATGTGTCAGCAGGGGCCCGGTCGGGCGCTGTGGCGCTTAAACAGCGCGACCGGGCCCCTCTTCCGGTTCTGCAGCCAGCTGGGAGGAAGTGACGTCACTTCCTCCCACCGGAGATAGCCGCGCGGGAGGAGGAAGGCAGGGAGGAGGGGAGTTCCAGAGGAGAACTCCCATCTGCCTCAGCCTGCCACTGGACCAGGGAAACCACCCTCCAGGAAAAGGTAAGAACCTGGAGGGTGGCTAAATGTATGTCAGTATGTCTGTGTGTATGCCAGCCTGTCTGTGTGTGTATGTCTGTGTGTGTGTGCCAGTATGTCTGTGTGTATGTATGTCTGTGTGTGTGTGTGTGTGTGCCAGTATGTCTGTGTGTATGCCAGTATGTCTGTGTGTGTGTATGTAGGTATGTGTGTGTGTGTCAGTGTGTATGTGTGTGTCAGTATGTATCTGTGAATGTTTTAATGTCTGTCTGTGTGTATGTCAGTATGTCTGTGTGTGTGTCAGCATGTCTTTGTGTGTCAGTATGTCTGTGTGTGTATGTAAGTATGTGTGTGTCAGTCAGTATGTCTGTCAGTGTATGTGTCTGTGTGTGTATGTATGTATGTCAGTGTATGTGTGTGTCAGTATATATCTGTGAATGTTTAATGTCTGTCTGTATCAGCCATTACGTCTGTCTGTGTATATGTCAGTATGCCTGTGTGTATATGTCAGTATGCCTGTGTGTGTATGTGTCAATGTGTCTGTCAGTGTATGTGTCTATGTGTTTTAGTATATCTGTCAGTGTATGTGTTTGTGTGTGTGTCAGTATATCTGTTAATGTATGTGTCTGTGTAAGTATGTATGTCTGTGTGTGTGTCAGTATGTCTGCCAGTATATATTTGTGTGTAGTGACTTTGTGTATCTGTGAATGTTTTAATGTCTGTCTGTGTGTGTATGTGCCAGTACGTCTGTCAGTGTGATTGCGGGTTGGACGTAATTGGGGGGTGAGGCAGTGGCAGGGACAGGGCCCATGGGGCCCAAGAAAATGCATTGCCCAGGGTCCTAATCATATTATAGACGGCCCTGGGTTTGAGATGTTACTGTTCAGATTTTCATAGAAATATTGGGCCTCAGCCAGTTTTTTCTGTTTTGTGCATATATTTCGCCATTGTCTATACGCACAGTGATCATTCATAGAGCCTGTACGCTTAAACTTTGACCACCAAGAATCCCGAAGCTGGTACATTTGGATGAGGTCAGCTGTGATCCAGTTCATATGTGCTCCTTTTACCCTCACCTTATGCAACAGGGCATGCAAATTCCAAATTTGTAGGAGTTCAGACTGAAAGAATTCAACAGCACAGTCTAGATCTGGGATAATGTTTAATCTGTGCCATGAGAGGTTCTTGATGTCATTTAGAAAGGATTCAAGATTAAATTTTTTGAAGGACCTAGTTATTTTAACCTTGGGAGAGGATTTAATAGCCTTTATTTTGCGCAGGCAGTACACTAAACAGTGATCACTGAAAATGTTTGGGAGAACACCGGCCTCCTGGATTCTATCAGGAGAAGTGGAGAGAATCCAATCGAGCAGGGTATGGTTATGGCTTTTAATGTTTACGCGAGTTGGGGAGGAGATTAATTGCGTTAGCTGCAACGTCTTAAACAGCGTGCAGGAACTTTTATTTTTAGGATTCAGCCAATCAGTATTAAAATCTCCAAAGACCAACAGTTCACTTTTTGGTTTTGAGCTATGGTTTCACTAAGGAGATGGGCTATGTCAGAAAGGGAATGCACAGGGGAGCTAGGTGGGCGGTAGATTCCTCCAACAATGATTGATTTACTGCACGGGATCTCATTTGTGCCAGAAAGGAAATCAAAGGTGGCAGGAGGACTAAGGTTTTGTAAAGGGGTAAACTTTATGGAATTGTCAACATAAATGACAATGCCTCCTTCTCTCTTTGCTCTGTCATTTCTAAAACATGAATAACCCTGTATTGCAATGGCGGTGTCTGGTATTTTAGCCGTTAACCATGATTCTGAGAGCACAATGATTTTTGGTTTGTAATGGGAACCAGGCTTGCAGTGCATCCAGTTTAGGGAGTAAGCTACGGATGTTGCAGTGCACAAAAGAGAGGCCTTTTTTAGTGGGGAGATTAGGACTAGAATTAGCTGGGGGGACCAGGGTTAGACTCCACTTCATTTGCAAGGGCAAGTAACATAAGGAGTAGGAATTTGGACATAATTTTTGTTTGGCCATATAGTGAATGGGATATTTTATAATTTTGTGAGGTGGGGGTAGGAGGGCTATTTTTTATAACTCTCCACCAGCACTCAGCAGATAAGTTAAAGGAAGAGAGCAGGCCATGCTGTATGATAATTTGTGTTCCAGTTTGAGGTGTGTGCTTATGCTGGTAGTGGTGTGAACAAAATTGGATTGAGAAAAGGGTTATTAAGAAGAATTATGGTTATATTTGGATTCATGTTAGTGGTATGAGGTGTGTGGTTGAAAATGAAACAGAAATTGTGAAAAACATAAATTAAATAGAGGTATATAGTTTTGGTGTGTGATATATCTATTTGTAGTCAGAGAGGATATGTGTTCTATAGGGTTAAGAGATTGAAAGGGTGTGCTGATCAGTGGTTGCACCTGACATTTCAGTAGACTGAAAGTTATGTGGGAGACTATCTATAAATGAGGAAAAGACCATGGGGTGGGAGGGGAATCAGTCTTCCAGAAGGCTACCTGTTTCAAATGGCCATGGAACAGCTGATGGAGCTCTGAGTTCTATGCTGGACTGGGTATGTTTAAAAATCAGACTGTGGGAGAGAGATGTATATTAGGGTCAGATGGGCTAAGAGATGGGGGGGTGCATAGATGGACATTTGATTTAAGGTAATTTAAGGAAAAACAAAAGCTAAGATTGAGAATTACAGAGATAAGACAGAGGTATTCAAAGTTGAGTTGTGATGCAGGGCTTAAAGCGACACAAGTGCAGTGTGTGTATATATATATATATATATATGTATATATATATATATATATATATATATATTTGTGGTCATGGCATAAGCCGTAGTATTATTGACATAAGACAAACATAGAATGGAAATGTCAGTTGTGGAGTGCCGGAACTGACGAGGAAGTAGGCCTGAAATAAAAGAGGGCCTACCTTATAGAATGCTTATAAAAGCGGTGTGGTGGGTGGGACAATTCGCCAGACCTAACAGGTAATGAGGGAAGGGTTGGTGCTCCTTAAGAAGGGGAACCAAGACCCTCCCACAACTTCAGGCCACGCCTTCCATATATATACTGTGCCTTTCAAAAAAGTATTCACCCCCCTTGGCATTTTTCGTGTTTTGTTGCCTCACAACCTGGAATTACATTAATTGGTTGAGGATTTGCATCATTTCATTTACAGAACATGCCCACAACTTTGAAGATGTTTTTTTTATTTTATTTTATTGTGAAACAAACAAAATAACAGAAAAAGTCAATGTGCATAACTATTCACCCTCCTAAAGTGAATACTTTGTAGAGCCACATTTTGCGGCAATCACAGCTCCAAGTCGTTTTGAATAAGTCTCTATGAGCTTGCCACATCTTACCACTGGGATTTTTGCCCATTCCTCCTTGCAAAACTGCTCCAGCTCCTTCAAGTTGGATGGTTTGCGCTTGTGAACAGCAATCTAAGTCTGACCACAGATTTTCTATTGAATTGAGGTTTGGGCTTTGACTAGGCCATTCCAACACATTTACATGTTTCCCCTTAAACCACTCAAGTGTTACTTTAGCAATGTGTTTGGATTCATTGTCCTGCTGGAAGGTGAACCTCCGTCCTAGCCTCAAATATCACACAGAGTGGTACAGGTTTTGCTCAAGAATATCCCTGTATTTAGCACCATTCATCTTTCCCTCAACTCTGACCAGTTTCCCAGTCCTGCCTGCTGAAAAACATCCCCACAGCATGATGCTGCCACCACCATGTTACACAGTGGGGATGGTGTTCTTTGGGTGATGCGATGTGTTGGTTTTGTGCCAGACATATCGTTTTCTGTGATGGACGAAAAGTTCAAATTTAGTCTCATCAGACCAGAGCACCTTCTTCCATACATTTTGAGAGTCTCCCACATGCCTTTTCGCAAAATTTAAAACGTGCCATTTTGTTCTGTGGAGCGTACAGCTTATTGTCATCTTATGTACAGATACTCCAGTCTCTGCTGTGGAACTCTGCATCTCCTCCAGGATTACCTTAGGTCTCCGTGCTGCCTCTCTGATTAATGCCCTCCTTGCCCGGTCCGTGAGTTTTGGTGGGCGGCCGTCTCTTGGCAGGTTTGCTGTTGTGCCATGTTCTTTCCATTTGGTTATGATAGATTTGATGGTGCTCCTGGAGATCATCAAAGATTTGGATATTTTTTTATAACCTAACCCTGATTTCTTAACAACATTGCCCCTTACTTGTTTGGAGAGTTCCTTGGTCTTCATGGCAGTGTTTGGTTAATGGTGCCTCTTGCTTAGGTGTTGCAGCCTCTGGGGCCTTTCAAAAAACGTGTATATATGTAATGACAGACCATGTGATGCTTAGATTGCACACAGGTGGACATCATTTCACTAATTATGTGACTTCTGAAGGTAATTGGTTGCACCAGAGCTTTTTATGGGCTTCATAACAAAGGGGGTGAATACATACGCACATGCCAAATTTTCTGTTTTCTAGTTCTAAAAAATAGTTTTATGTATATATTTTTCTCATTTCACTTCACCAACTTAGACTATTGTGTTCTGATCCATCACATAAAATTCAGATTATAAAACATTGAACTTAAGGCTGTAATGCAACAAAATAGGTAACAAGTCAAGGGGGTGAATACTTTTGCAAGGCACTGTATATATATGTGTGTGTGTATATATATATACATATACATATACATATACATATACATATACATATACATATATATATATATATATACATATATATATATACATATACATACACACACACTTCAATATATATTTTTCCAACTAATATTATTTAAACATTTTTACTTCCAGGCACTCCTGCAGGCTGTTCTGTTGTCTGCTATTGCGACCATGTGATCCTTCGATCACATGGCCCACAGGGGCCTTAGAGGCAACAGAGGTGCTCCAGGGAGACTGTCTTAGCTTTTAGGCAGCCCCCTGACCGAGATCGAAAAGGGATGTAATTGTAGCTGTGGGGGGAGGAGGAGGCATTCAATGCCATCCTGCAGAGTTCAAGCTTGGATTTTGCAGGACAGCCTAGAACGCACAGCGGCGTTAAGGGAATAAAGTGTAACTGTCAGTTTGCAAGATTTTTAATGTTAGGTTTGGTTATCTCTATATTTAACAAATATGTATAGGTGAGGTATGAAAAATAACTGTAATCCGCACCTCATCCATTGAAACATTAAAGGGACACTATAGTCACCAGAACAACTACAGCCTATTGTATTTGTTCTGGTGCGTAGAATAATTCCTTTCAGGCTTTTTGCTGTAAACACTGTCTTTTCAGAGAAAATGCAGTGTTTACATTACAGCTTAGGGATCCCTCCACTGGAAACCCCTCAAATGGCTACTAGATGTGCTTCCTGGGGCAGTGCTGCACAGTGTGACTAGCATTCAGTGTCTCCGCCCTCTGCATGCAGACACCGAACTTTTCTCATAGAGATATATTGATTCAATGCATCTCTATGAGGAGATGCTGATTGGCCACGGCTGTGTTTGGTTTGTGCTGACTATGCCCCTGATCTGCCTCCTTGACAGTCTTAGCCAATCCAAAGCTCTCCTCTGAGAAAGCTTTGTGATTAGCTCAAATCACCACTTCTGATTATGTCAGCCAAGCAGGCAGATCAGGTGCAGAGCCAGCAGCAGCAGGCTGGAACAAAAGTAAGATTTTACTCTATTTAGAGGTGTAAGGGGGAGCCAGGGGGCTAGATGGTGGTTTTAATACTATAGGGTCAGGAATACATGTTTGTGTTCCTGACCCCATAGTGTTCCTGTAATACAAATTTACAAGAAAACAGAGAATTTCATGAAAAAAAAGATTAACACAAGTTTTTTTGTTTTTGTTTTTTTGTATTCAGTGGTGTAAATTTCAGAAAACTGACTGTTCCCCTTTAAACTTAGGTTGCAAAACACCAACTGTTTGAGAACAAGCAGTTAGACTTGAGAAAAATCTTAGATTTAAAAGAGGTTTTTTTATTTTTTTTATTTTTTTTATATCATGCTATCTGTTTCATTGTGTTTCGAATACTCTTGCAATTGCTGTTGTGGCTATACAGGTTGTATTGTTTTCTTAGGCACGACCAAAAATAAAGATGTACAAAAAAAAAAAAAGACAGACATAAAAAATAAAATAAGATACATATTAACCCACAACTTCCAAAAATGCTAAAATTATTTTATTTTCATATACAAAAAGAGTAAGCCTACAGACCCAGTCGAAATCTACAGCTCAGATCATCAAAGAAAAAACTAAAGAAACTAAATAGTAAGTGTAGATGAAGGAACAATACAAAATAACTACAGCTAATCGTACGAATAAGTGATCGAAAAACAACCCACCACATTTACATTAAACACCTCTAGAATAATGTGACTAACTCTAACGATATATTAAACTGTAAACATGGAGGTAGAATACAAGTAAGATTCTAGTCCATATTCTACTGATATATTTAATCTGAATACAAACTTTTTCTGATTTCCTGAACAATTTTGTCCAGATATTGCTCCACGTCTTTAGCATGAGGAATCACCTTCTTCTTTAAATTTTCTAAATGTGGTTTTATGGATTCCCTTAGCTCATCGATTTCTTTTTCTACCAGAACAATATAGTTCTTAGACAATTCACCATGCATTTCTTTACGATTCTTTTCCAGTTCCTTTTTCAAATCTTCCAAATAGGGAGCCATTTTGTTACGCAGTTCTTCTACCTCGGAGCGTAATTTGTCACGCCCTTTCTCTGCAACCGGTCGTATATTTTCAAAGAATTTCTCCACTTGATTTTTTAGGCCATTAAATAAGTTTAGTGTGTAAATAAAAATATCCTTCTTCATGTTCAATGCATACTCATCCCATTGTTTTCCAAAGTCTTCCAAGTGGGGAAGGACTTTCTTCTTAAACACTGGGTACTTCTCATCCAGCTCCTTGTCCACTTGTACCCAAGCTGAATGTAGATACTTTTTAATTGCTTGCTTGATATCATTACAGTTGGTCTTCAATGCATCAATTAAATCCCTAATTTTCTGCCTGTCAGGAAAAAAATTTAGGATATTACTATTTTTTAAGTACTAAATGTGGTTTGTTCGGTATTTGTGAAAAACATATTAGTTTTTAAAGATAATGTGACACACAGTGGTGGGAATGTGGTCTACAACTCTTATTATCTCAACTTTTTGTGGTGTCACTCTCAGAATTGATGTCAAACCCAGCACCTATAACATATTTGCCACCCATATCATGGAAACACATCATACCACGCAACAATATCTTGTGCCTTTGTTACATCCAGGACGCATAACAAGCAAACTCAGTGCTAGACTTGCCAGGCATTCACTATATAAATACTAGATAGATAGATAGATAGATAGATAGATAGACTTTCTATTAGTTTCTTGCCTGTCATTCTAAAGATGAACAGTATTGACTGTATTTGCTACATGCTGGATAATCTTATAAATGAGTAGGGATGTGCATGGGCAAAAAATTTGGTTGTCTTCGGCAATTCGGCACTTTGGAAATTTCGAAATTCTGCAATTCCCTAACCCTACCGCTAATCCTAACCCTTCCCCTACCACATAACCCTAACCTTACCCCTAACCTAATCCCAACCTTACCCCTAAGCCTACTAGGGTTATGGGTAGGGCTAGGGTTAAGGGTTAGGTTAGTGGTAGGGTTAGGTTAGCAGTAGGGTAATGGGGTCGGGTTATGGGGTAGGGTTAGGGTTAGATTCCTGTCATCATTCCCTTCATTTTCCCTCCCTCTCCTGTTTTGACACTTTTCAGAAATCCGAAGCACTTCGTCACTTATGAAATTCGGCACTTTGGCAATTCGGACCATCGGAAGCATCCCGATGTCCAAATTGCAGAAATTCAGCCGAATTTCAATTCAGACCGAAATGAATTGCACTTGTCTATAAATGATTTAGCACATCACTTTATGCACATGATCCATTAACTAATGTAAGTGAGACTGGAAAATATGTAACATTGCATAAATCTTACTCTTTATCATTGCTTGTTGACTCCACGTAGGCTGCAGCCTCTGATCCAAGATCAATAATGTTTTCTACAAATGTTTCAAATACATCAGATATATCGGATTTTGGTTCATCTCTCTGCCAAAGGAAGCGCCCGTGTGTTCCTGAAGGAAAAGAATAGTTAATTAAAGGCACGTTCCAAGCACCACATTCACTACAGGCATGTTCATTTTTAATTGTCAAGAAACGTCCAACCTCCTGTTGCACTGTGGGTAGTCAATGCCTTTCAAGTATTTTATTTATCCAAACGAAATTATTATGACATCTCCCTTTGGTTCTAAACTTCTAGACCGGCTTGTTTATATCAATCTAAATTACTTTTTCAGCTACTTTAATTCTTCTGAAACAGCTCTCACGAAAGTAACGGTAACTAATGATTTACTTGTTTCTACATTTAGCATCACATGTGGCCTATGTTCTATCTCTGCATCTCTTCCGTTTGATTACACTTTCTAAAAATGAACTTTTTATCTTTCCCTCTTCAAATATTCCACCTCCATCTGTTTCCCTACATCCCTACAGGTGAATGAAACACCCATTACCCCAATTGCCTAAGCCGCACTGCCTTGGAGTTACTTGCCATTCAGGTCTCACAGTTTATCCCTACGTTCAGTCTGATGAAACTTCAAGCCTATCACTCCTCTCTAATGCAAGCTGCAGGTGAGGGCCTTGTTCATGCCCTTATCATTTCTTACCTTGGCTATTGAAACTTGCTGCTCATCAGCCTTCCAAATATCTGTGTTATTTATCTTCATATCTCTTGAATACACAAATCTGAGGCCAATGGCATTAATGCACATTTCACTCCATTCCTGCCCTGTCCATCCTTAATACTTCTCATGTTATATTGCTGCCTTCATAGCACACATATGTTAGTATATCTGCATGTCAACCAATATATCATTTATCAAACAAAATCTTGATGATCAATAATGGAGAAGTTTCAAGGTACCTGATACTTTTTATTAATTTAGGGAGTTCTAAACGGATGAATATGTTTACTAAGATATGTTCAATACACTCAGTAAGTAATAGTTTATTGGGGATTCGTCTCCACATACCTGAGATGAACAGCACCGATAAAGTTAAAATCAGGATCTTCATGTTTGCGATGTATGTTTTTCTTCAACCTGTAAAACAGAGACCGTGCCAGTGGACAGAAATAGTTTGGTATGAGATCAAAGAAAAACTAACTGTACTTCATTCATGGGCAATGGTAAAAAGAAAACATGAGACGTATGATGCCAAAAGTAATTCTCCAGAAATAAATATTGCCATGCCACTTGGGATATGCTAAATAGCAACAGACATTCATTCTAGGTAGAGTAACTTTACTAGTTCCTACTCACTAGTGAATAAGCTATTATTTTGCAATATAAATAAAAAATGCAATAAAGAGGTCCATGTCGTCATCTGTCCCTGTACTTTCTCTGTTCACAGCCCAACATCTCAATGATTGCGTGTTTGCTCACTGAAGTCGTTGACTTTCACCCTCTCCAGTGACCTTGCACCATGAGAACTCTGTATTTTAATAATCATTGCTGTATCTATCCTTCCTATCCACTCCTTTGTTTCTCTTTATATCTTTGTCCTATATATTTTTCTTTCTTCTCCAAAGCCCAAATATGTCTGCCATGCTGGGTCCTTGTGCTTCACCAAACATGCTCTGATTAGCTTTACTGCCTACATACTAAATATACAACTATCTCCTATACCTACTATCTACCCTACTGCCTAGTGTATACCTACCTATTATATATGCAATTACCTACTGTGTATCTAACTAACCACTAATTTCTAACTACATATCTACCTACTTACTATCAACCCAACTACCTACTATCTACCTTACATTATATATACTCCAATAACACTTTAAAGGAAAACGTTTATTTTTGGTACACTGCTAAAATTATAAAACATAAGTCTTGTAAGCATTAAAACGTAACCTTTTTTTTTTTTAAATTAAGGATATTTATCCACACAGCAGTCACTCTACCCAGCCATTACCCATTGGAAAGTAGACATAGGAAATCTCAAGTGTTTCTGTACTAGACAATCATTGACTGACATTCCTTTTCACTTATTCAGCATTCCTTAATTAAACTTCATTCTATCTTCAGATCTACATAGAAAATATGACTGTAACTTTTTGTGCAGAGAATACTCTGTATCTTCCTCTGCACTGTCCCCTCTACACTCATTATTTTCCCCTTTTTAACACACTATTCTTCGACCCACTACTGCCCTTGTTCGACTTCTTCCACTTAGTGATCCACAAATACATGTCAACTTCTCCCCACCCCACCATAGGCTATCTGGAGTAACTATAGCAAATGAAAATAAATCTCATTCTTTGGGGTCCACAGAAATAATGCAAACAGCTCTCTTACCACAATAGTTACAGCTGTTCCTGTGATCCAGGAGAGGCATCCACTGGTAGATATATTGTATGAGCCGCCCACTTCTGGGCATATGCCCAATCAGATAGGAAGTGCCTGCAGGGACTTCAAAGGTCATATGGCTGATACCAGTGAGAACAAAATCAGGGTGAGGGGCAGCTAAAATACCTATAGTGCAAATTAATATTATTTCACATATTTTTCATTAGTAAACATTGTAAAGCGCTGCAAAATATATTATATAAATGAAATGATGATAAAATACAACACGTTCATACATAACATGTACTGCTTATGGCCCCACAAATATACTGTATATCAGAATCTCATAAACTGTACACATCATTGTGTTGCCAAGTGAGAAGAATGTGGCGATAAAATGGATTTGCAATAATTACCCAAACCATAAAATCATTGCCCAAACAGTAATACCATCAAAGTAAAGTTGTAAAATATGTTATATTTATAAAAACAGCCAAATAAGAATTACTGCCGCCAAATACTGAGAAGAGGCTTATAGGCAGTGCCTTATAAACTTTACAAATAAACTGAAGTTTTCATGTCTACAAAAAAACATTTTTTGGAGTATTCACTTAACTCTGAATTTTCACGAAATAAATCCAAATTGTAAAATTGAGGCAAAAGTAGCCAATTTGTGTGACTAATGTCAACATGGAGAATTTTTCCGGATCAGCTGTTTTGCCTCAGTTTTCCATTCATATTTAATCTATGAAAATTCACAGTTTAGTAAATTGCTTTGTTGATGTTAAATCCCTAATCTTATACTTTGGATTCTCCTCACAAACAAAACACTGGGAACATCATCAAATATAAACAATGGGTCAAACTCCATCAAACAGAGCAAAGTTTCATTTTGGCCCAAATCAGCAGTTAATGATTCCAGCTAGGGCAGAAATAATAAACGGTAGCAGCAGATGTTGCAATTGATCCCATGTTGGCATCAAATAGTTTTTGGCTATGAAAAAAGTGAGCTAGTTTTAACAATAAATGGATTTTAACAGATTTTAAACATCAAGTTGTCTACGTCAGTGGTTCCCAACCTTTTTTCACTCGAGTACCCCTCGGCAGCCCATTTCCATAAATTGTACCCTCATATAAGCGAAATGTTTGTTCTTAATATAGTTGCTATTATTTCAAATGTATATGTTTTTCTTTGCCCCATAATCCCCAGTCTTTCTGCCCCAATCTCCATCTGCTTCTCCTAAGCCCCATGCCCCCTGTATATTATTAAAGGGACACTCCAGGTTTCCACACATGTAAGGTTATAGTTAATTATGCCAGATGGGTTTATATTTCTTTTCTCGATTATGACGAACTAATCAAAAAAATGTTCTCAAATTTTTGTGGAAAAGAAACATTAAATATGGCCACTTAGAGTCTGAATAGAAAAATACTACAAAAATACAGATCTTACAGTTGGCAGGGGGTTTACTTTGCTAATTCATGTCTTCAGTGAAAATTAATGATGAATTAGTTGGTCACCTTCTTTGACCGGTCATTCAAAAACAAAATTTTATCCTCTCGGCGGTCAGAGCCCTGTATCATGCATCGTCAGGTCGTGTCCTGAATGCAGGATTTGTGTCAGACCTCTTCAGCATCTCCAGTGGTTCCCGCCAGGGGTGCCCACTGTCCCCACTACTTTATGTGATGGCACTGGAGCCACTGGCGTCCATCATAAGGCAGCACACCTCAATACACAGGGTAAGAGTGCGAGACAGGGAATACAAGGCAAAACTATTTGCGGACGACGTTGCTGAATCTGATCTGATCTGATCTGCTGAATCTGATCCAACCGCACATATCCCTTCTGAACCTAGTGGCTACCATCAGAGAGTATGGGAATCACTCATATTACAAACTCAATGTCTCCAAGACACAAGCTATGGGGCTGTGCATTCTGACAGAGGCATTCCCCTTTGATTGGAGGACTGACTACCTGACATTCCTGGGCATAAACATCCCATCCCACCTGCCCAAACTATTTGAAATGAACCACAGCAAACTCTTAAAAGAATTCACCACCACGTTGACCGCATGGGAAGGCAAATACCTTTCCTGGCTGAGGAGATTAGCCAGGGTAAAAATGATGCTACACCCGAAATTTCAGTATTTATTACGCTCCTTGTCCATAGAACTACCCAAAACATACCTAAACTCACTACAACGTCTATTCGTCCACTTCGTCTGGATGAAGAGGAGAATTAGAGTGGCCACAACAACACTGCAACAACCAATACGGGAGAGGGGACTGCCTGATGTCCGTGAGTACTATAGAGCAGCACAACTGGCGGCAGTCAAGACCTCCACTGGTGATCCACCACAATGGACATTACTGGAATCTCATTGGGCATGTCAGCAGGGCCTGAGAAACTTATTCTGGCTCCCCAAACACGCATGCCCACTACAAACACATATTCTCCCAACCACGGCCCTGACTCTAAAAACATGGGATGAGATAAAGGGCAACCAGGGAGAATTTTAATCAGTTTCACCAAGGCCCCAATCTCCAGTATAACAGTAGGGATTCCAAATTTCGACCACACACAGTGGACAGGGGCCGGGTGTATAAAAATAAAACATTTACACAAGGAAGGCAAGCTATTGCATTTCCCGGAACTCCAAGCTATCTTCCAGCTAACCAATAGAGCCGTGTTCTCATACCTACAGCTGAAGTCCTTCCTAACAAGGGTTATAGTTACAAAAAACCTATCCCCACACAACTCCGCAATAAAGACAATATGCCTTGCACACACCACTGAAAAAGATACTCTCCACATTATATAACTTGCTCCGGTCAAATAGCACAAAGGTAGAAATGCCCTTCCAATCAACGTGGCACAAAGAACTAGGGCATCCCCTAAGTAAAGACCAATGGAAAAAAGCATTTGAGGCCCATAAAGACAACACATCTTGTGCATCGCACTTAGAGATTATCAGGAAATTGTAGTATAGATGGTATATGTCACGAACGCACCCTACTCCAAGAGTTCGCGTGACGTAGTTGTGGTGGTGAAAGGGTTAAAGTTCACTATTTGTCTGCACTAGACCGGAAATAATGACAAAATCCACCCACACTTAAACATAATAATATAACTATTACTATTTTAACGCTGCCACCACCAAGACAATTTATAAATGGGGTGCCTTGGTCCCCCAGGTAAATCAATAATAAAACCCACCAAATATTACTTAGTACAATATTTAAGTTATTGCAAAAATACTAACTAGTCTCTTCAGGTAACGTGATTCTTAACCAGACAAAGGCAGAACTTAATAAATGAATGTTTATTATGAGCAAAAGATAGTCACAATGCATATAACAATATATGATAAACAAATTATTTACACCAACAACAGATAAAAACAAAAAGGATAAAATACAGAAGTCCTAATTACTCACTTAGGTTTTCAAAGTACAACTTCTGTCCAGGGGGTCTCTGGCAAGGAAAGATGGTGACTCACTCAAAATTAGATCTTGGCCCCAAGCAAGTACACCAACACCCTTCAGGATCACAGGAGATATACCCTATGAATTGCCACGCCTCATCCAGGGGTGGAGCAATAGGGATACTAAATGACCACCTCCTTTGTTCCAGAAAAAAAAGAAGCCACATACAAACTTTTGGTTTTATCTCCTCTACTGTACTTGCCACAGAAATAATAATTGCCTCTATGAATTTGTTATTGTTTTCCCATTCCAAAGACATGTTGCACGCCCCACCCACGATCCAATAGGATGGACATCACAAGTCCTGCCACACGGTTTAAGTTGTGCAACTCATGTTTGGGCTTAATTAAAAGATTGGGCTTGTCCCATTCCAAATATAATAAAAATGAGGCTTAATTATTAACCTGTGGGTAAGTATGAATGTTTCACTTGGATAAGATACTGGAACACAAGGATCTTCATGAAACGAATCCCATTACCATTTCAAATGATTGAACTATCCTTTACAAGGTACATGCCAAATGGATGAAGAGACATTCAGACTTTTTCCAAGTGTAGAACCTCACACCTTGCAGATCATTGATTACTTCACATCCATATAGTAAAATCCTTTTCACATTGCTATGCCATTCACACTACCCCTTCTGTCATCTGACCTCTGTGGGGGTCCCAGCTTCAAAAGATGTAACCCCTGTTGACCTCAGCAATAGCATCTCTGTAATTTGTGCCATTTACTACACAAATTACATTAAAAGATGATATTCCATAGTGTAATAATAAATTATACACCCTTGCCGTGACAGTATATGGTCCCAGATAGACTGTTGAAAATATATCCAAACTCCCCCAACACATGCTGGAGATGTCATATAGACATAGGTACGATGGGCCACATTTGGTGGACGTGTGGGGTGATCCAACCCTATTGGAAAAAAGTGGAAGAAATAGCAACAGCACTGTTGAATAGAACATGGGAGCTGACCATGGAGCAATGCCTGCTCTTCCTATTCCTAAATTCCCTAAACAAAATTGAAGAGAGATTACTATTCCACCTGTTGACATCAGCAGTATTACTTATTGCTAGAGCGTGGAAGACACAACAAGCACCGACGACGCTCACACTAATAAACCAAATCTCATTGAATTAGATATACTAAAAGATGGCCCACAACCACATGAAACAAGAAAAATATTTCACACAGGTTAGAGAGAGATGGGATGCTTTTCTTGTAAGTTCAAGCAAGGAGGATCTAGCCAGCATTGAAAGGGTTTTATGGAAAAGGAAAAAAATTAATGAATAAAAAAAAAACAAACAAAAAAAAAACAATTCCATGCAAACAACCAACACTAAGATAGAGAGGGGCAATTGGGGGATTTCCATGTAAGACCACTTCACCGATCATAAATTTATAACGTTTGTTAATTTGTATTACTTTTATGTTTGTTCACTTATTTTATTTAAGACTGTGTAGATTTAGTTTCTGTTAAAAAAAAAAAATAACTATATGCTGAATGTATTGTACAGTCAGTGCTCACGACCTTCTTAATCACAAGAGAAATGACGAACAGAATACTTGTAAGGCCATGAGTCTCCGTAGACACGGTGAATACTTGAGAACGGTGACAGATAGCAAGACACATCAGCAGGGTTTAGCAACCTGTGTGGCACAGGGAACATACAGACCAAAAGTTTAATGTCAAGGGAATGAATGAACCCAGTAACGCAATTGTGTGTATGAAAACTGTGTAATGTATATCTGTTCTATGTGTGATGCACTGAAGGTAAATACAATCAAAACTGTCAAATTTTAAAAAAGGTTCACAGTGCAGAGACACAATAATGAGTCAGAGTAGGGTTATGCGGGGGCATACAAACAACCTCCTAAAACAGCACATTTCATAAAACAGGACAAAAGGCACAAAATAATGATTAACATCAGCAGTAGTTTACTAGTCTATATGTTAGATTAAAGGTGAATCTTTCAACACTGATGTTGTCTAGTATGCGAGTACCTAAAAGGAGACTTCGTGGTGGGGATGGCCGACGTAGCAATGGCAGCACCTCAGCTTGTGGAACTGATGTTAATTATTTCATTTTGTGGGACTTTCTCCAGAAATATAATTAGTTCATCCAGTCAGCGGCGTGATATCTGCCATGCAATGGCTGTTCTAAATACGGCATGAATTGTGGATGTACTCATGCAGGACAAGCTTTCGCCAGGGAGAAATGCATTTTTTTGTTTCCAAGTCTTCCCGCAATGTCTAATTTGATGTTTTGTGAATATAACAATGACCTACAGAGCTATTCACTAAGCTGAACATTGTTATGACTGAGAATTCAAAGTGAATTAAAAATATTTTCAGTTTGGCTATTTTGGCCTTGTTTTTTTAAATTTCCCCCAACAATTCTTAGAGAGAGAGAAAGAGAGAGTGTGTGTGTGTGTGTCTCTCGAAACACAGGCACAGTCCTTGTTAAAGCTGACCATTCTTCAGTTCTCTTACAGCATTTTTGGTGATTACCACTCATAGCTTCGTGTATTCTGTCTCTGTCACAAAAATACTTCAGGAGCCAACAGCTGATCTACATCTTGTTTTATTGTGCAAAAAAGAAAAACACTGCTGTGACGAAGTGCCCTTCGCCACTTGGTACTGGAGAGGCCTGCTTGCCAGCATCCTCCCCTGTAACTATGACTCTTTCATGTATTTGGTTTTAAAGCCCCTAGTCTACCTTCAGACAGACTATTTATATAGGCTGCTTTATTTATCTTATGTTTAAGTCACCCTGTACCCATTATAGGTGCAGGGTGTATGTAATGTAATTGTTTATAGTGTGTGTGTGTGTACTGTGTAATGTATTGCCTGCTCTCTTGTATTGCTGAGGTTTGCTACCAACTAGGTGGGTTTGGCTATGGAGCTTTTCTAGTGCCCTCTGTTGGTAGCAACAGCAATATGCACTACCTGAATTGCAAGACTGGTTCATTTGCATATTCGGGTAGATTTGCATATTGCTAATTCTGCAGGCAGGTGAGATATTTACTGTTAAATATTGTCTTCCCCACCCCTTTAAAAATGTGCCATTGTGTTGTGATAAGTCACTGTGTGTTTCTTGATATGGTTTGACTGTTTGTGATTTTATTGAGGTTTCACAACAATGTTATTGTGGTGACTGTATTGGCTGGTCCCAAGGGAATAAAGGTTTTGACAGTTCTTCTTGATCCCTCTAAATGTAGCCTTGTCTTGTTATTGGAGGGAGCTGTTATAATCACACTGGGGATTGCTATGCTCTGCATGCTCCCCTGAGCTTGAGTCACTTAGCTCTTTTAAGAGCTTGTTCCTGACACGCTCTCCTTGGAGGAGGGGTCTTCACCACACAGTCCTGGATGCTGGAGGTTCATACAGGGTGGAAGGAAGAGTTCTTTCCCACACAGTCCTGGAGGACAGAAGCTGATCCAGGGTGGAAGGAAGACGGCGAGACTCCAGTCAAGATACGGCGGTTGCGGAGTCTGCGGTGGTTGTGGTGTCTGCTGCAGCGCTTGGAGTCCTCAGGAAGCGCTAGGAGCATCCGTCAACGGAGGGTACTCGGTCGGAGTACAAGGAGCTCCGTTACATTGGTGGCAGCGGTGGGATGGCGTCCTAGTGCGAGGAGAAGCAGCTTGGAGACACTGGTATCGTATGAGAGGTTATTGAGGGCAACGCTAGCCACTGTACAGCGTCCCTAACTACAGCAGCATGGAGCAGGCATGGATAGAGCCCTGCGAAGAGTACCTCAACAGGATACGGCGCTACGAGGACGACGCTTACATTGAGGAGGTAAAGAGGCGGTTGGTCTGCTATGGCCCAGACCTTTCGAACGAGGTGGTCCACCAAGTAATGCGCCAGTTGAGTGCTGAGAACAGTGCGGCAATGGCCTTTGAGCGAAAACTGTGGAGGTTGAGGATATGGACACCTAGTCTCCAGCGACAGTGTAAGTTCCAGGGAGCCGAAGGTGTCGTCCTTCCTCCCCAGCGGCAGTGCAAGTTACAGGGAGCTGAAGGTGTCGTCCTTCCTCCCCAGCGGCAGTGCGAATTCCAGGGGGCCGAAGGTGTCGTCCTTCCCCCGCAACAGCAGCAGTGTGTCCTACAGGGAGCAGAGACAGTTGGTCTCTCTCTCCAGCAGCAGGACATTGTTATGGGAGTGGAGACAGGCGGTCTCCCTCTCCAGCGGCAGCCTGTGTTTCAGGGAGAGGAGCACAGCACCCTATCTCCCCAGCAGCAGCTTACCCCACCAAGGGGAGACACCAATCTCCCAGATGGCGCAGAGGGGACCGTGGTCTCTGTACCCGACCTACAGGGATGCTGGACAGCCTGTCCAGATCCCCAACTATCCTCACAGGGACAACAGGAGGAGGGGGTAAGTACAATTTCCCCTCACCAGCTAACTCCTAACTTGGCCTCAGGGTTAACAGAGGAGATGTTAACCCCCACTGACCCCCACGTTCCCCTGGCTACTGAGCCAGACTATGTGCCAAGCACCCCAGCAGAAGAGCTGGCAGCTGGGCAGAGTGCAGTCGGCCTCTGCCCTCCCTTTGTCCCTTGTCCAAAGCCTGATGTCCTGCAGGCTATACCAGCAGAAGAGCTGGCATCAGGGCAGACTGCCGCTGGCTTCTGCCCTACCGATCCCCTTGTCACAGGACTGGCCTGCACCCCCCTCCTCCCAGCAGAAGCGCTGGCATCAGGGCAGAGCGCCGCTGGCCTCTGCCCCTCAAGTCCCCAGAACGTGTTGCCCCATCACCCCAGAGGAATACCCAGGTGCAGTCACTGTTTGCTGTGGGTGGGCTGCTCTAATAACTGTTTGTTGTGGGTGGGCTACTCTGGCACTTGCGTATGGTCGGTGGGTGAATCGACTAACTTAGGCACTGACCGACAGAAAGTCAGGTGCCTGGTTAGTCTTCCCCCCGAAGGGGAGATGTGTGACGAAGTGCCCTTCGCCACTTGGTACTGGAGAGGCCTGCGTGCCAGCATCCTCCCCTGTAACTATGACTCTTTCATGTATTT